CTGTCTTCTGTCCTTTAGAGAAGTAAACAAAAGAGCTCACACTTAATTTCGCCCCTGGTTGTTAATGTTACCATTGACAGCCCTGTAGGGAAATGCTTTTCACAGCATATGACTGTTAGATATTTGCAAAGAAGACGGTTGCAAATGTGGGGATAAGACCTTATATTATACTATTTTTTTAACGTTAGTTTTGGTTACATATTCTTCTTTCTGTGTCTCTGTATGCACCACTTATACCAAAGCAAATTCCTCGTACGTGTTAACCTACTTAAACAGATTCTGATTCTGGAAACATTGAAATACCACACACAGTTTAGAAAAAAAATAACTGGGAAAAAGTGTCTAAATGATTAATGAAATCTAGTCGTCCTGTTACTGTAAGTCATTGAACCTGAAGAGGACTACTTCCCCAAGCTTGTAAGAGAGAATTGTGGTAGCAGTTATCCCACGGTCATTTGAAGCAGAGATGAACTTAGGTCACAATGTCAGCGTAATGATAAATCTGAAATCCAAATCTGTGTCCAACTAATTGATTCACTGCTGTTGTGGTTGCACTGAGGGAGAGATAATCTCATTGTTGAGGATGAACTTGTTTGAACTTTTCCAATCTAAAACAATGTTGTGCAGTTATAGCTTGGGAAAGGAGCATAGAATTGACGTCAGATATTGGTTGTACAATTTCAAGAATGCAGCGTATGAGCGATTAGGCTTACAATGGCATTCGTGCAGGATTAGCTTGCTTTAATATTCCCCGCCCTCACGTGCCCCTAACATGTTTTAACAACCATCAGCTCTACATACAAGTCGCCTCACTCTAAGAGGCCTATAATCTGGCTCAGTGCATTGAGAAGAATCATCCATTTTCCAGCACTAGAGGCTAGAAATGTCACTTTAAGGTCAAGCAGGGAAAATATTTTACTTCTGTATGTGAGTCCATCTTCAGGTTCCTGTAATTTATTCAAACCATGATGACTAAATATCAAAGCAGTGGCGGACTGGCCATCGGGACGAATCCCGATGGGCCGGTCGGGTAAGTCACTAGCACAGTATAGGCAAAAGTAACAAAAATGTTGGGTCAGTGATGATTTTTCCTTCCAATCCCTTCTTTCGTCAGTTGGAAATGATAGGCTTGATAACCCGAATGGCTGCCAAGATAATGGCTACAGACCAGTAACAGAAAACCCTTGTCAGTGTAAACACACGGCTGCTATCCAAACCACTGCTGCGTTTGGGCCGGAGCCGCCATTGACCGGCATAATCTGCTGAATACATCTGCAGCTTGGCCCTGTCTGGCTGCTGTCTGGGTTCTGTGCACTTGGACAAAAGCGCCGGACACCTTGCCCACTGACAAAAGGCCCGGTCCTAATCGGAGTGGACACGGCCTGCTGATGGAGCCTTTTTGAGCAATGGAACTTGGTCAATGAATCTTCGGGGACCTAATGAAACATAAGGGACAGGCAGTTTGACTCCAACACCGGGGCCAGCACCAAAGTGTCCTGTTTCTGTCCATCAGCCTCAGAACTAAAGTTGTTCTTTGAACCATAATTACTTTTACGAATGCACGCATGTTAATTAAATTACTGCTTTATTTTATTTTCTATTTTATTATATTTGTTCTTATTTTTTTGTAATGTTATTATATTGTTCTTAAAATAATTCTCTATCTGTGTTTTTTTATTTTTGTTTTACTTTTATGTAAACGACACCAAGTCAAATTCTGAGAAGGTTCTGATGTTGTTGACCCTGTTGGCTAAATAATTGTTGTAGATGTTGATGTCTTTCATGTCGTGGTGGAATTCAATTTTGGCCTTTGAAGGAGAAAATGAGTCTGATGTGGCGCCATTCTGTTGTTTTGTTTTCCTCCTGGAACATTGCGAGAAAGGCGAAACAGGCCTTAGTGTGTCTCTGGAGCAAACTGTTTGGGATGGAGGACATGCTGTTCTTCTTTGAAACGTTGAGGAAGGAGACTGGGTTCCTTTTAGAAAGCCCTTGGGGAATGTGTATGGGAAAACCTGTGTGGGCCACTGGAATCTCCTCAAAGAGAAGGAGTACAGCACGAGTGCTGACCTCACCACGGGAGAGAGGAACCGGTCTTTGTGATTAGAAATGCCACAGAAAAAGTGTGCATTGTTCACGGCCTAACACGTTTTTTGTTCTTCTGGTCCTGTGATTCACCTACAAGGTCTCAGGATCACTGACCCCTTGTAGCTGGCTGCCTGAAATGCCTACACAAGTCCATGACACTATATTTCATTTACACTCTGTTGTTCTCAGATTGCTTGTTGTCGCAAAGTGTAACATCAGTTAGCAAAAGTGGAAAGTTTAAAAACGTAGAGTAATGAATCTCAATCTTTTCATTTGTAAAGATCTGACTCTTCCTGAGTTTGATACTGTACGTCACATGTGTCAAACTCAAGACCCGGGGGCCAAATCAGGCCCTTGGTGGATTTAATTTCGGCCCGCAGGATAATTTCTAATTACTATTAGATCTGGCCCGCCGGTATATTGCACGCACACCTTCACTCAATCCTGAGGGTTTCCTCCGCTCAGAGCCTGACCCCAAACATTGATGAACTTGCACCCAAGATGAGATGCCAAGTATCTGGCTTGAACTAGCATCACAGAGCAGCACACTGAGTTTAATGGATGTTTCCTTCTGCACTTTCTTTCTTGAGACAACAGGGCATGTTTGGTTTTTTCTTTGAGGGAAATTGTTTTTTTGAAGCTGTTGTTGGCCTGTGGAAAAATGTAATCATAAGAAATGACTCCGGAAAAGCTGCAGATAGAGCCATAAGAAATGAATGCAACTGATTATTTAATGTTTAATGTTGTTTTTATAGGCGATAATTTAAGCTTTGTTAGTTCCAGGTTTAATATGTGCAATAAGTTCATTTCAATACGTTTTGCAATAAACATTGAACCAGTCCGGCCCTCGACTAGTACCCATTTTTCATTTTTGGCCCACTGTGTATTTGAGTTTGACACCCCTGCTGTACATACTGTAGATCATTAAAGGATGTTGACCTAATATTGTCAGTGCTTACATGTTTACCTTTGCCTTCAAACAACCCTACAGAAAACAATACAACAATACTGAATGTAGAATATAATGTAAATGTTACATATCAAAATAGCAAAGGTCTCATGAGACGATATCCATGGTGGGAGCTGCATGTAATCCTTCTGAAGTTTATAATAAGGAACAACAACTGTGTAAGGTCATTGTTTGTAAAATACCTTCCGCATAACCATAAGGCAAACTCAAAAACAACATAAACATCCATGCTTCTTGAACTGGACCATTACCATCTGGACCACAAATATAATAATTCAAATAACGGAATAATTCATTTGTAATCCTTTATGTATTTATTTGTACTTTATTTTTGCTCACCTGGTATGGCTTTAAAAAGTAAAATAAAAGTTCAAGTGAAAATAACATGAAGAAGTCCCTTTTAATTATGATTACAATATATACAAATGCCAGAACAAATCATAACGACTAAAAATAATAATAAAGAATGACATATGTAAAGTTGTATTTGGAAGAAATTATAAACGGAAATTGCAAGGCCATTTATTGTGAAAAATCTTACACTTACCTTTCGCGTTTGGCATGGTTTGTCCCTAGCGAGTCTCCAGTCCTTACATGTTGTCAACAGCGTGGTTTCCATGGAGACTAAAGTCAACCTCTGGACGCGAATGGATATTTCGACATGTTTTGCCTGCTAGGAAATGTTAAACTAATCTGCATATTCTTTAAATTAAGAGCAGTTATATTCATTATCGATTACAATAGAACCTAGAGGTAACTGTCTGACTTCTAATGTTGGTAAACAAATGTAAAAGTTGAATCGCATCGACATTTTAAATGGATGCTAATGAGCATTATTGTGTCACACACACAGTAATGTTTGAGCTAAGGATACAACGTAATGTTATCAATAATACTGATGAAACTAAAGAGGAGCAGGAGGGGTTTTCATCTCAAGTAGACACGGTAAGTCTGCTTAGTCCTGAGCACTTACATCAAATGATCAATTTAGCCTAAAACCTTTTAATTAGACAGGTGAAGTGGCTAATTAGGCTAAATGTAGCTAATTGCTAGTAGCAGCTAACTAGCTTATTAGGAGGCTACTGTATCAACGTTTTTAAGTTGAATGGTGGGTTTAAATATTTGTATTATGACCTACGTTTCGATGTTTAGGTAGATACCTACATTAAATATCAGGGATGTAAAGTAAGTAGATTTACTCAAATAATTAAGTACAATTTTGAGATACCAATTCTTTACTTGAGTATTTTAAATGTTTGCTATACTTTGTACTTCTACTCTACTACAATTCAGAGGTTCATACAGTTTGTATCCAGTTGTTTAAAGTCCTTATGCCTGTAAAAAAGATCCCAATGGAGTGACTTAATGTATATTTACTTGGATTTGACAGACCACATTTTTCTTTATTTAATAGTCTTTATTCAATGAGTTATAATGTAGTGTAATACAATAGTCCTGCAATATATCCTTCATTTCCTATACCTAGTTAAAGCTTAAGGTACTTTTCTTGAGTATTTAAATGTTTTGCTTCTTCATACTTCTACCCCACTTCAATTCAGAGGTTAATTGTGTACTTTTACTAATCAACTCTTAAATCAGACTTTAGTTACACCTGGAGTAAATTCCCAATCTGCACAATGACTACTTTTACTTTTGGTACTTTAAGTATATTCTGATGCTGATACTTCTGTACTTTTACTTGAGAATAATTTTGAATGCAGGACTTTTACTGTAACAGAGTATTTCTACACTCTGGTACTTCGACTTTTACTCAAGTACAAGATCTGAGTACTTCTCCCACCTCTGCTAAACAACCAGTTAACCTTACTTTAACAAGTTACCTTTTATGCTAACACCAAACTAACATGCCTTAACTTTATGACAACAGGACTCGGATGACTTCCCCCAATCTCTGCTCAGCTACTTTGAAACCTCCAAAAGCAGAGCAGCAGTTTGTGAGAAGCTCATCCTTCAGGAACTTGAAGGTATGTTTGATAGGGTGGTTGTGGCTCAGTGGGTAGTGCACTGGACTTCGAATCAGAGGATAGCAAGTTCGAGTCCCACTGCAGTCAGCATGTCGTTGTGTCCCTGGGCAAGACACTTCACCCCAAATTGCTCCTGTGGGGATTGTCCACAGTATTGAATGTATGTAAGTCGCTTTGGATAAAAGCGTCTAACAAATGACATGTAATGATAGCAGTGGTGGGAAGTAACTAAGTACATCTACTCAAGTATTTTTACTAAAGTTCTAATTTAAGGTACTTTACTTAAATATTTTTCTTTTCATGTCACTTCCATGCCTCATGTACGTTCTATGTCACTACATCTACATATACAGTTTTAGTTACTTTACTTATTAGGGAAGATTATAACCATTTACAAAACAAGATAAATAAGATTATTTGTAATAAATAAGCAGTTATAGCAGTAGTTTATATAGTAACAGCTGAATGACGAGAAAATCATTACATTTGCCAATTGAGAGATATCATTGAGATTATTAAATGTATCTTAAATAATATTAATTTGTAGTGGCTTTTTCAATTTTAGATGTATTTAATACTTTAAGAATCTTTTTCTGATTATACTTATTTTTGCTTTATGTACTTTTTTTCAATTCAGGGTTTTTACAAACTTTTTTTACAGTGTGATTTTATTACTTTTAATTATGCAAAGGATCTGAATTCCTCCCCAAACACTGAATTAGTATGCATATCATTCAGTATTATGCTTCTACAGGCATAGCTGCTACAGTAAATAACTTGCCTAACATGCTCACTTTCATGATTCAGTTAACTGTTCTGGTTTTCTTAATATGTACAATAACAATGCCTCAAAAATAATACCATGGATGAGATTTCTTCTGACGATAATGGGTAATCTGTGTTTTCTTATTGCATCACAGACTTGACTGCATCACATCACACTGCGGACATGATGCACTTTCCTATTCAACCCCAACAGGATACATTGAAACTAAAGGAGCAGGTACCTGTCTCTCTTTAAATCTTTCATCAATGACACATCCAAAGTGCACAAGTTGTGGCAAACTCCTCTAAATAGTTGTGATGTATCTGATACAGGTCATTTGTGACTCAGACAACCAGCAGAACAACTCTTCCACTGACACTCGCCTCCTTCCTGCAGAGACAGAAGCTCTTTTCACTTACGATGTGTCAGTGTGTCCCGACAATGAAGGTACGGTACATGCGAAAGTGAAAATGAAATAACACAGTGCAGAATGAACGCTACAGGGTGTCACAAGTCTCACATTCAAAGGTATTCTATTGCAAACTTAACAAATGTACAGTCAAAGCCAAAGTGGGGGGTGATAAGAGTAATCTGTATATGTTTCTTTTCCTGTACATATTATTAAAAGCAAAGGCATTGGCAAGACTTTTGAATAACACTTAATTGTGAATAAAAAGTGTGATGCATAAGGTACATTAACATGTAAGCACTCAATTAATTATGCATGATATCTGAGTGACAGCAGGTACATTCAAATTCAAAGTAAAGACACCTTGTGTTATGTTAAATGTTGTATTTAATTGCAAAGATGTAAAGGAGATGAATGCTAGATAACATCCATTTCCCCTCTTTATGCAATGTGGAGGTCTTGCTGAAGGGTTAATGTTGTATTAAAACGTCTGTGGCTATACAACAGTTTCTCACAAGAGGTCACTGTTGTCATATTTGTTGCTCTCATTCATTTCTGTAGGGAGTTAGAGTGATAATGACGTTTTTCAGACAGAGAAAGTGGTATAGTGTTAACAACGTTGGTCTCAGGGTGTCCGCGGGGTCTTAAAAAGTATTAAAAGTTAATAAATCAATTTAGCGAAAATTAAGGCTATTAAAAAGTATTAAACGGCATTTTCCAAGGTATTACATTTTGTAGCTTGTTTTCAATAAGTATATAAATGGTCCAAAGAGGTAGTATTCTACAGTTTGCCTGAATGTAATCATTGCGTAGGTGTGTAGTGTGATTCTGTGTAGTTTATTTATGGCATCCCGTTGGATTTGACGTCATCTGAACAGGACATCGCACGCTCACTGCTTGATAGCGCGCGAAGGCCCGTTTACGCCGGTTGTTAAACAACATCGTTATGGGGAAATGCAAGTTTGCGTCCAAATGGTTGGAAGATAAGGAGGAAGGACAATCAATACTGTATATAGTCAATGTGAGGTAAAGTGTGTCGCCAATGTAACCGGTTAAAACTCCAAGTGGCGATGAGGTCTTAAAATGTATGGAAAAGGTCTTAAAAGGTATGACATTTGACTTCAGGATTCCTGCATATACCCTGGGTCTAGTTATTACAACATTTGGATAGAATATTCTTGCATATTTCTTCAGGCAGTTTGTCTTTTCGCTGCATAATGCCCTGTTTTCCTCCTTGCTAGTGGAGCTATTAATAAAGCATTATCTTTTTTTGACTTGTCACAGGAGATTGCACAGAGAAGGAGAATCGTTTGGCGTTGGAATACGAGGCAGAGCGAGAGAAAGAACGCTGTGAGGAGAGGAAGAAGGAGGATCAGAAGAGACGAATAGAAAGAGACTTCCAGATGGAGCTGAAGAAGATAATGGAGGCCGAGAAGGTTCGTCACTGTGGACTTACTATACTCAACATGATGACTTTTATTGTAATTATTTTTATAACAGATGTAGGTTTGGTTTCAGGTTAGCAAATGTGTAATCCCCCACTGTGTAGTGATTTGTGACCTATATATAAATTATTAATACAAATAAATAAAATAAACCTAGTTCTTTAGATATATCTAATAGTAAATGTATTAATTAGGGAATCAGACAATGTAAGGAAACTGCTGCCTTAGTCAATGACTGTTGAGACAGAAACTGCCTCGTTGCCTTTAAATTCAAGTATTCTGCTATGGTGGGAGAGGAATGGATAATAATACGTACAAGATATATTTAAAGAAAGATGTGCATGTTGTCAGCCAGTGAATCTTGCTGTGGAAAGAACAATATCAATCTCGTGGATTTAAACATCTAAATTGTCATTATTTATTTCATCATGTTTATTCCCTGATTATTACTCTCTGTATTCAGCTCCAGCAGAAGGAACTTGAGTTGATAGAGAAGAGAGCTCAGGAAAAACTGGACCAGGAGATGATGCTTCAGCGGGTAAGTCTGTCAATACGCTAGTGATGGCAGTTTGACACTGAAGCTTCGATACGTGCTTCAAACCCTGGACTTCTTATTCTATAGAAGCAGTGCTTCGAAGCTTGCTTCAAATCGCGTGACATATGACGTCCGAAGCAGCAACTGCTTCATTGCCTGAATGAATCACTTGACTGGTTCGCGGTCCAATCACGCGATTCAATGCACTGCCTCGTCTCGATTCTGACAGGTGACAGGTTGAAACAGTTTCGAATTTGAGCGCTTCAACACTTTATAACCGCTCTAAAGTTTAACAATGCACAATGTGTGGGTTGTTGTCGTAGTTTGCGTTGTTGTTGGTATTGCATTTGTATTGGATCATTATAGAGCAAGCCAGGAAGAAAGATAGGTCGTTCTGGCTCGGGAAACACTTCAAAATGTGGAGAAGTTGTGGACAAAAAGACAATTATGAGTATTAAAAAAAACAATGTCAACAGTTTAAAGAATAGATAGCCCAGTGGATAGAGCCGGCGGCCCGCATGCGGCGACGTCCTCCGCGCAACTGGTTCAAATCCTGGAATGGATGAACTTTTAATCAAGGCCCTCTCCGGCCAAAGAAATGCCTTTAGATAAATACAAAATAAAAAGAATAATGTAGGCTACCTCAATAAAGATCTTTGAGTGTTCCCCATCCCACATAATCACCCCCTGCCATAATTACACAAGCACACCCAACCACTCTCTTCTCAATAACCCAATACACACAATTTATCAATCCTGTGTGTTGTGGGTGTGTGTGTTGTGTGTGTGTGTGTGTGTGTAGTGTGTGTGTGTGTGTGTGTGTGTGTGTGTGTGTGTGTGTGGTGTGTGTGGTGTGTGGGTGTGTGAGTGTGTGTGTGTGTGTGTAGTGTGTGTGTGTGTGTGAGGTGGTGTGGTGTGTGTGTGTGTGTGTGTGGTGTGGTGTGTGTGGTGGTGTAGTGTGTGTGTAGTGTGTGTGTGCTGTGTGTGTGTGTGTGTGTGTGTATGTGTGTGTGTGTGTGTGTGTGTGTGATGTGTGTGTGTGTGTGTGTGTGTGTGTGTGTGTGTGTGTGTGTGTGTGTGTGTGTGTGTGTGTGTGTGTGTGTGTGTGTGTGTGTGTGTGTGTGTGTGTGTGTGTGTGTGTGTGTGTGTGTGTGTGTGTGACTGCGACTGCGACTGCGACTGCGACTGCGACTGCGACTGCGACTGCGACTGCGACTGCAGCCTTGCACTTCACCAGGAGAGGTCGCTGTAACTGAAGCTTTGAGAAATGAACTTATTTTCGAAACAATTGTCCAATTGGTTCGATGCTTCATTCAAAGCTTCATTTTGCCATCACTACAATATGCTGACTATATGGTGTTTTATTAAATGTATATATATATATATGAATTTAAGGCAATTGCAACTCAATGTTTCATTTGAAATGGGTCAACTGGCTTTGTTGTAACTCTGTTGACTCTCTTTACCAATTAGGAAGTGATCAGAAACTTAAAGAGACGCGTGGAGGAAGAGAGGAGGATGAGGGAAGAGGAGCAGAAGAGGGTAAAGGACGAGGAAGACAAGAGGACAAGAAAGGAGGATGAGATTAGAAGGAAGAAAGATGAAGAGATGATAAAGAAGGGGGACGAGGAGAGGAAAAGAGAAGAGGCAACAATGAAGATGGAGGAAGAGAAGAAAATGGAGGAAGCAATGCGGCAGAAGAAGGTTGAGGAGCAGAGAGAAAAGAGGGAACAGGTGAGGAGAGAGGAACAGGTGAGAAGAGAGGAACAGGTGAGAAGAGAGGAACAGGTGAGAAGAGAGGAACAGGTGAGGGTTACCACAGAGGAGGAAAGGATTACAAACAAGAAAGTAGAGGATGTTCTGATGAAGATGAAGAAGAGGGATAACATAGAACTTGAAGGTGAAGAAATAAAACCTGAGGAGAGGAAGAACAAGGAAGAAAAGGCTAGGGATGAGGAGGCAAGAAAGAAGGAGACGTTGAAGGAAGTTGTAAGCATAAAGGGAGGGGGGGGAAAGAAATATGAAGGAAGACATAATAACATTTGAAGAGGATGAGATGAGGAAAGAGGAAGGACGGCAGAGGGAGCAGAAGGAACAGAGGAGACAGGAGGATGAGAGGAGACAGGAGGATAAGAGGAGACAGGAGGATGAGAGGAGACAGGAGGAAGAGAGGAGACAGGAGGAAGAGAGGAGACAGGAGGAAGAGAGGAGGAGACAGGAGGAAGAGAGGAGACAGGAGGATAAGAGGAGGAGACAGGAGGAAGAGAGGAGACAGGAGGAAGAGAGGAGACAGGAAGAAGAGAGGAGACAGGAGGATGAGAGGAGGAGACAGGAGGAAGAGAGGAGACAGGAGGAAGAGAGGAGGAGACAGGAGGATAAGAGGAGGAGACAGGAGGAAGAGAGGAGACAGGAGGAAGAGAGGAGGAGACAGGAGGATAAGAGGAGGAGACAGGAGGAAGAGAGGAGACAGGAGGAAGAGAGGAGACAGGAGGATGAGAGGAGACAGGAGGATGAGAGGAGACAGGAGGATGAGAGGAGACAGGAGGAAGAGAGGAGACAGGAGGAAGAGAGGAGACAGGAGGATGAGAGGAGACAGGAGGATGAGAGGAGACAGGAGGAAGAGAGGAGACAGGAAGAAGAGAGGAGACAGGAGGACAAGAGGAGGAGACAGGAGGAAGAGAGGAGACAGGAAGAAGAGAGGAGACAGGAGGAAGAGAGGAGACAGGAGGACAAGAGGAGGAGACAGGAGGAAGAGAGGAGACAGGAGGAAGAGAGGAGACAGGAGGAAGAGAGGAGACAGGAGGAAGAGAGGAGACAGGAGGAAGATGAAGTGGGCTGTGAAGGGTATGATGTGGACAAAGGAAAGATGGAGAGAAAAGGAGATGAGAGAAAAAGTGTAGAAGCAGAGAAGGAGCTAAAGGAGGGAGCGGTGGGAGAAAACCAGATGAAGGCTAACCAGGAAATAAGACTCAAAGAAAAGGAGCAGCGTGAACAGAGAGTGGTGCACCATGGGAAAAAGGAGAAGCAAGTGGTGAAAGCAAATGAGCTGCAAGCAAAAAGCAAAATGAGTCAACATGAGAAAAAGAATATGGATGAAATGGAGAAATCCACTTCCTGGACTTCCTCTGGTCCTTTACCCAGCGAGTCTCCCATCAGTGCTGACACTGTGCCACAGCTACATGAAGTGAGCATCCATCAGACCTCCATGGATCAAGCTCTGGACTTTGAAAGTGGAGCAGCCAGGCCTTCCACTGCGTCTGTGTTCCCCTCTGAGAGCCTCCCAGAGAGGAGGAGGCTGGACTGGATGAAGGACTGCATCCCCTGGTCCAAACTCTCCCTGCAGAACCGGAGGAAGCAGAGAGGGTCTGTGCGGAGAGGAAGAGGGCCGAGGGGGGTCAGCAGTCTGCCTCCAATCTGCCCCGACTCTCTGCTGAGGGCCACGGGCCGGACGTCCCTGCTGGAGGTAGGATCTGTACAGACGCTTCCAACATGTTTATGTCACAACATGATGAAGGATGGAGTTGTTTGAGACCTGTAGTGTCATGTTGATTTAAAAAAACAAAAAAATGTCTTTCTCAGAACTGTATTCTCGTAAAACAAATAATACTTGACACAACTCATCATTTTAGGTTATTGAACTAGATAAGATCATGTACCAAAGCTATATTATAGTTTACCAATCGTAGGTTTAGACTTTGAGTCATCAAATAATCTCCTACTTTTCCCCCCCCTGATTGTTCAATCTTTTGTTCTATAAAATATAAAATAATTGTTCACCATTTATAAATTGAAATGTATGTCCTGTTTTGATTATTCATAAACCCAAAGATACTTGCAGATAATGCAGAAAATCACCATCTGTGAGAGGCTGAAAAAAGCTATTTCTGCCATTTTGACATGAAAATAATTCTGAGGAATAATCCAAACAGTTGCTGATATACGTATCCAACAGTGAACCTCTGAGCTCTGAAGCACCCCCTCCTCTCTTCAGGTGACCACAGTGACTCTGGAGGATTTAGCCGGCTGCAGCGTGTCCTCTCTCGGTCAGTGCACTCGACTCCAGTCCCTCACCCTCAGACGCTGCGGCCTCACATCTCTGGAGGGCCTCAACCAGCTCACACAGCTCTGCTACATCGATGTGCAGGTGGATATAGAATAGAATAGAATCCTTTATTGTCATTATACAGGTACAATGAGATGAGTAGAGCTGCTCCTTTTTTTAACATGCAGACAACATACAAACAGCAAGCTTTCATACTTCAATATGCAGAGAGACTTAAAGTGCAGGGATATATCGGTTTAAGTCAAATAAATATGTTTGAATGTGTATACAAATATATATATATATCACTCCTCCATATATGACATTATGTTCACTCTTATGTGCTGTTGTATAGTGCAGATCTGGATTTAAATATCATTATCTTTCTGAAAATAAAAAGCAATAAATCCACGTTTTGTTGTGTCATAACATTTCACAGGAAAATGACATCTCATTTGTCGACTGTGAAAATATGACGAGTTTACGAGTTCTTCGACTCAGCCACAACAAGCTGACGTCCATCCATGGTTTGACTGGGGCGGAGAATGTGGACGTCCTCGACCTCTCGAACAACTCCATCACCCGCATTGGTGAGAACTGTTGTTTTATCCCCAATCAATCACTTTGACATTAAGTTGTATATCAAATAATATAAATTGTGTCACATCTGAGGTCTAGCTCAAGTCTGCAATACTCCACCAGAGGGCAGCATCTCTCTTCTCCTTTAAGCCTGGACTCATTAACTCTACTGCAATGTGCATTGAAAATGATTTATTTACTGAAGTCAACTTGAGCCCTGGGGCTTAAGCCATAAATATATATTGCCCAGACAAGAGGTTAAACACATTAAATTGTATATTCAGCTACTGTAACAGAGGACTATTGTTAAAACCGAATCCTATAGGAGGGTCTTTGAATTAATTTAAAGGGGACCTATCATGCAAAATGCACTTTTTGATGTCTTTTATACATAAACATGTATCCCCGGTGTGTCGGGGAACTCACGCAGCGTCAGAAAATAAAACCCTCTCTCTTTTCCTCCGTACCCAAATCTCTAAAAACGGGGCTACAACGGAGCTGATCCAGATTTGCGTCCGATATGACGTAATATCTGAAATGTAGGCTGGCTTTACACCCACGGCCCTATCAGAAACGTTGCTATCGGAAACAATGCCCGACTGTTTTGGACGTAATATGGTCGGTGTTTACATTAGCATGGCTAACACTCAGAGCTAACCTGTACTGGAGAGCATGTGTGTGAAGAAGCAGGAAATAAAAAGGAACTCACCTTGTGGTATAACCGGCAAGAGAGAAAGCCTTTGAGCTCCATACTGTTTCAGAAATAATCCTTGATAATCCATGATATGGCGTTTCATCACGGCAGTATTTAGTTTAGACAGTAGCTGCCGGGTCCCGCATGAGCTCAGACCCCTCCTTTTTATTTTTATCAATTTAAAAAAAATAAAAAAAGCTTTATACTCAAATCAGCACTTTTGAAACAGGAAGTGAAATAGAGGGATATGAGGCATGGCTAGAATGGGTGATCTGATTGGTATTTTGAGCAAAACACTTCATAGACATGTTTTTGATATATCTGAGACCTATGCTATTGCCTAAAAACAGCATGATAGGTGACCTTTAAAGGCTTTTTTTACTGCTTATATGCAGACTTACCATGTGCTGTTTCTCAATCTGAAGCCGATAAATGTCATCCCCAGCTGGTCTGGAGTCGATGAAGAGACTGCAGCGGTTATCACTGGATCACAACCAGCTGATCAGCACCAGAGGACTGAGGGACGTCTACACGCTGCTGCACCTGAACTGCTCTCACAACCACCTGGTGACGGTGGAGGGTCTGGAGAACAGCGCTCTGCTCTGCACGCTGGACCTGAGCGCCAACAGCCTCACTGAGGTAACAAACATTAAGGAAAGCACTGGTTCTGACGTCACCGTGGAAACATGATGTTTAAAGTGGATGAGAAGTTTGTAACTCAGCATTGAATGAAACCCTCGGCATTCATGTTTCATTTTTTAGGGATGTCAATATTTTGTATTTTGTATGTCTTGGAAAATCAGCAAGAAAAGCATATTTAAAAAATGTTTTCATCTTGTATACATAAATAAATATAAACAAATAGATGTAATAATCTTATCAAGATGCAAAAGCTAAAATATACCATTAGATTCAGCTTCAAGATTCGATTTTTTAAAGGAATAGGTGGGAAAACCTAATGTGGCAAATACTGAACAGATGAGCAGATTTATTTAAATGAACAACTCGTGATAGAAATACAATTTGGGGGCTTATATTATCATTTTGAAACGATACAATTCATAAGAGTGCATGGCTTCTGTTACAAAACACATTGCAATACATTTCCCCATGTATTGCAATGTGGGGAAAAAAATAACAAAAACAAAATCGGAAATCCTAAGGGACATTTAAAATCGGTCAAATATCACCAATTGACCAGTTCCAGCCAACCATGAACATTATTGGGGGTTTAATGTTCCTTAAATCCTACAAAATGACCGCTTTGAACAAAGACGTGATGTAACAAACTGAAAATAGGTGAACTGAAAGCGATGTTGCTTCGTGTAATTCTCAACGAAACACACTTCTCACATAAGATAATAGAAAATGTGCGAGTAGAAGATGGATAAAATCACCTCAAAGTCTCAGAAACATCAAAGAGAGTAACTCACTGGTAATTGCTTCATAAGTCAAGAAAATGAAATGAATGAAACATACAAACAAAAGTAATCAGTATAATAATAGCTTAAGTGTATCCTAAGGCTCCCCATGATTGCAGCAGGGCTAACTGATGACTGTAAACACAGCAGGACTGAAACAGCTGACGTTGATGGACGGGGTCGTTTATCCGTCACTGGACCAGCAGCGGCAGCAGAAAGTTAGTCTAACCCCCCGTGTTACTGACAGCTCCACCCTGTTCCTCCATCAGCCCCCCAGCCTGAGCAACCAGGTCCTCCTGAGCGAGCTGCACCTCCAGGACAACAGCATCTCCTCCCTGCAGAGCCTCAGCGCCGCCTGGATGCCCCTCCTGCAGCAGCTCTCTGTGGCCCAGAACAGGTACCCTCCTCCAGGCATACTTATTCTGTCTCTTTGTTCCAGCAATTTTGTTTTATTGTCACATTATACATGGCATTAACATACTGGTTACAACAACATAACAATCATGTGTCTGCATGTTATTATATTCTTAAAAATATATGTATCTATTCGCTATTGTTCCAGTGACATTTCTTTGTTTCGAGTCTTCCATTTTTCCCACTTTCTGTTGAGTTGTGTTTGTTGTAATCTCAATTTATATGTCAGTTTTTCCATCAAAAAGATTTCTTCCACAATTGTTACCCATTGGTCAATTTAATTTAATTGTATCTTTATACCCCACCACACTTATAAAATATCACATCCGCCTTCAACAATCCCTCGGTCTCCATTAAAACTTAAAGTGGACCTATCATGCTATATTTGAATAATATAGTGTAGGACCATACCTATATAAGGCATATTTATACTTTTTTTTTTTTCAAAATACCAAACATCATGCATTTTAGCCATGCCTCATTTTGCTCAATTTGACAATTTCTAGCTCTGGGCTGATTCAGTGAGAACAGCACCATCTACTGGCCTGGCATATGTACTACAGCGTCTCCAGCGCTTTCGAACGGCAATGGCCGTGGTTGTCTCCTCCTGATTGGTGGAGTTGGCCCAATAGCCGTAGCGCCACCGTCCTGACGTCAGGACAGTGTTCAAATCTGGATCAGTTTTTATCAGATCCGTTGCAGCCCCTTTTTTTAGAGATTTGGGTATGGAGGAAAATAGAGAGGGTTGTGTTTTCTGACACTTGGTGAGTTCCCTGGAACACCGGGGACACATATTCATGTATAAAAGACGTACAAAAGTGCATTTTGCATGATAGGTCCCCTTTAACTAACACTACTGAAAATAATTAACTAAATACAAAGATAACTTACATTATTATATTAGATCAAATAACCATACTATTTAAAAAGATCTAATCTAAACATCTAAAAAAGAGATATGGGGATGAAACAAATAAATGAATGCACATACCTTGGCAAATACTCTCAAAAACAAACATTATGTCATATACACAGGCACATTGCTTACATTATAGTCAACATTAGGCACACATACATACATCATTGTCCTTTATATGTCTTAATTGATGTGCACAAATCCATCATGAGCGTTTACATATCTTTGCATAAGGGCCTCTACGTGACATTTATTTCTTATTATTTGATATCAAAAAGTGAACGCCTTTTATTTTGAAGATGACTCATGCAATTTAAAAACCAGTCAGATAATGTCTAACAGTGGTACAATATTAGCTTAATACAGTTTTATATCTTTCAAAAGTTGTTATATTTTGTCTCTGTGTGTCCTAGAGTTACCCAGCTGCCCTCCATGTCTGGTTGTGTGTCCCTTGCAAATCTGGATCTTCGATTCAACTGCCTGTCAGGTAACAGATTATTTTAATGAAACAGCAGATATAAATCCCTTTCCATAATAGATAGGCATTCCTTCCTCTACTGTGCATGTCAAGTGGGGAAATTCACAAGCTGTTGTTTCAGCTTCTTTACATCCACTTTCAAATCCATTCCTCCCACTCAGACTCAGATTGATCTTACTTATAAAAAAAGAAGTTACGATGGCTATAAATGTACATGCTCCAAGCCTTTAAGCTCAAACACTTATGATTCCATTTATTTTATATGACACTGCTACATTTATATTGTCTTATTGCTGGCTGTCAGAGTAGAGTGTATGAGTTAATGGAAACAAGAGGCATCATCTATTTATTTAGATACATAACAAGATGAGACACTGGATAAAGGGGCCCTATTATGCTTTTGGGGGTTTCACTTTCCTGTAGTGTGTTATATATGTGTTTGTAAATGGTCCCCCCCCTTGCCTGAAACGCCTCCATTTGCTTATTTCCTGGACAAAGTGACCTCACTATGTAACACTCGCGCTTCTATTGGCTATCGCTCCAACACTGACACTTACCTCAGCCACAACGTAGTCTCTATATGCATTACATTAACGCACACAATGCTCAAATACTGCTTACTGCACATATTTCTTGTTTCATATTTCATATTTTATATCCTATAATTCATTCATTTCCATGTAAATTACTGCTTTATTTTATTGCTATTTAACTATATTTTATTACGGTGTCCTTAAAGATTTCTTGTTTTATATGTTATGTCTGCACCATGACATCAAGTCAAATCCCTCGTATGTGTGAACCTGTTTGTGATTCTGATTCTGATTCTGACATTGTACGAGACTTTTTTCAGTCAGAGGCTGAAACGATTTTCTAAATACCTTTTTTGAACATAAAAGCATAGGAACAAAAATACTAATATGAACCTGATAATTGAGTATAATAATAGGGCTCCTGTAAGGGAAGATTACACCAAAAATGGACAAAGCAAAAATGTTTTTTCCTTTTCTCTATCAGAGCCCCTGAACGTGTGCGAGAGTCTGGAGGGATGTCACTTCCTGCGAGAGGTGCAGCTCACAGGGAATCCTCTTCAGCAGGAGAGAGGCTGGAGGTAAGATAAGCGGTAGAAAAATATGGAAATATATGGGCTACCGTTTTCTATGATATACATTTATTTCTTATGAATGGAGGAATCTGCTAGTAAGACTCATCCAAGCTGATTTGAACTTGCCCTTTACCCTTCATTTTCTGTTCTCTAACTTCAGCACCCCCTTCTCTGTAGTACCTGTCAAACAGCTTCACATCAAGATACTGTTTTTTCCAGAAAATCTCCGTGCAAAAGTTTCAATTTCTGCTTCCTTTTGCTCTGAAAAATCGCTCGCCGCTATGGATGTTCAAAGTGAGCATACCAGTAGAAAGCTAGCATTTCTCCATCAAAAATACAGTCTCCTGGCTCAGGTAGTCTAAACATTCCTGCAGAACACAGGCCTTCCTGTCCACTTCCCGGGATTAGCACTGTGATCCGCGTCCGCTATTAGATTACTGCGACGTGCCACCGACATCTGCGCTTACGTACGCCGCTCTAAGTGCTCGTAATTCCCCAAATATTGATACAACAGAAAAATCCATTATCTCTTCAGTGTCAATTTGCTCATTCACTTATCGTGCCTAAATATTTTACCCGAGTTGCAGTGAGTTTATATGAAAAATATGCAATGACACTCATATTATTCATGCTTCTATTGGCCTGTCATGAGCAATGATGTCACATGTTACATGTTCGCAAAGTTGTTTGGCTCCTCAGAGCTACTCACACCCATTTAGTTACACCAAAATATGAAAAATTATACTTTGCATGCCCCTCCAACACAGCCCCGTGAAATGTAGACATTTTTATAACATCATAACCGAGAAGAATTGAATGTCAATGCGCACGTAAAACATTCCTGCCTTTCTTACTACTGACATAACATTTGTTTTTTGTTTCCTTTTCATTATAATATCTTGATTCATGGGTCATTCTCTGTCCAAAAAAAAACTTCTGTGGACTTTTTCCTGCTTAACCCCTTGACTTAGACATCACATTAATATTTCATTGAACTTTACTTAACCTCCAATGCCAACAGAGGAATTAACCTTCTGTATTTCCACTCTCATGCCCTGGCCCTTTCATCCCTCGCCTGTGATAACACCGGTTAAATGAAAGCACCAAAAGGCAAGCGCTAGGAATTAAACTCCCTGTAGGCAGCCCCTGATCCAGGAGACGTGGAAGAAGAAAACACTCTGGCTTGATTAATCATGGCCGCTTTAAGAGCATGTGGTTCAGAGGAAGTCTTCACTAAATGAAATACGGGACGTGTGCTCATACGGGATGGAGAAGGGGGACGAAGGAATGTGAGCCAAGAACAGTGTTTCCCTCAGAAAGGAGGATGAACTGTATATCAATTTAGGATAGATTCAGGATGAAGTCCAAGTATAATGAATGAAGATATACTGTAGATGTTAGGAGAGAAATAGATTCATAGCAACATTTTTAACCCTTAGATGCATAAGTGGGTCTTTTTTGACCCGGTGAGGTGGTTGTCTTGAAGTATCTTTGTAATTACAATTTTTTATTATTTCATATTCCAGCTATTCCTCAAAAAACATGTTTTGGATATCATGCCATTCAAATTTTTAATTTACATTTGATACATTTTAAGAAATTGTAGTTTTTGTATTACTACCCCAAGCTTCCATAAGTCGGTATTTTTTGACCCGGTGAGGTGGTTTTCTTGAAGTATCTTTGTAATTACATTTTTTTATCATTTCATATTCCAGCTATTCCTCAAAAAACATGTTTTGGATATCATGCCATTCACATTTTTTATTTACATTTTGAGAAATTGTAGTTTTTGTATTACTACCCCAAGCTTCCATAAGTGGGTCAAAAATGACCCGCATGCATTTTCTATGGAATTTCGTTTTTTTTTCAAAATGTAAAACAAATGTCTAAGATTATAAATAGTGAAAAATTAAATATAAAATATTTCTAGCGTGAACCAAAATATAATACTAAATATTATACAAGTGATTTTTCTTAACCAAAATGACAAAAATGGCATAAAAACACATATTATTCTAATACGGGTCCTTTTTGACCCACTTATGGAAGAGTGTAGGGTCCAGTCACTCGGGCATCTAAGGGTTAAAATAGGAAATCTCCTTTATTTGGTTTAATGTGGCTAGTCCTTACACATATACAGAAAAATGCTTTGACCTTAAAAAATGTCAAAGAAATGCAGAGGTTTTCAACTGAAACCAGTAAAAGTATCCCAAATAATTGAATAGGAATCACCTATTGTAAACATCAACAATTGATGGCATCCAATTATTTCCACATTCTCCCAAAGTGTGTCTAAGTGGCGTCCATTCCCCAATTGAATTACTTTCCACACCTCAATGAGCTCATGTAGCCATCAAAAGGTCCTATTTGGGTTTCCCAGAGAACATGCCCGAAGGCTTGGAATCTAATCCCGATCTGTGTCGGAGAGACCAAGTGGGCCCATCAAAACCGTATCCCCCTGACATTCAGCCCGTTATTCTGCGCTCATGTCTTTGTCCAAGTGTGGCAGTGGGGATGGGAAAACTCTAAAGGAAGAAAATGCAAAAGTCCTAAAAACATGGTTTGTTCCATTTTTGAGAATCAGAATCTTTAGGTAACCGCATGCAAGGAATAAGCTTTTTTGGATAAAGGCACACAAACAGTCCATTTTGAATAAGAATAAACCACCTGAGGCTTCAAGATTACTCAAACAATTCGATTTATTTCACTTATTTTATGCCTACCTTTTATACAGTTGGAAGTTATGATACATAGACTGCAGGAAACAATTGATTATTCCAGTGAAATTGAGCTGTGTTTTAAATAATCAGGATCAACACTGCTAGATCTATCATGGCCATTAAGGCAGCCTGACTATGAAAAAATGACTAATTGCAATTGTTTTGACTGATAACGCAGTTGCATAATTATATGCGATTTGAACCAGAGTTATTATTGTTTTGACATTATTTACATTATAACTCAAATATGTATAAAAATGATCAAGGTGTGATCTGTATAATATATATTTTTTTCTTCTATATATATATTTTTTCTTCGGGAGGGATTGCAGCACAATATAACTTCAATCAGAATGATATCTTTACATATTTTGCCTCTAACAAATATTGCAATAAGGCGCATTAGTCTATACTGCGATTTTGCTAACATTTTGATGAATTGTGCAGCACTAACAGCCGTGGATTAATATAAAACAAATTGAGATATCCAACTTCAGATTCAGACTGCAATAAGGAATCCCCAAATATAAAAAAAACCCATACATTATGAGCTGGTGAAATGTTTTATCCCCCTCTGGCGACATAGTAGACGCGTATAAAGAGCATATACGATACGATACGATACGATATACTTTATTGTCCCCGTAAGGAAATTTGTTCTGGACTCCGTCCTGCAGTGCATAAATGTACATATACAAACATAGTGGACATTAAGAGACATACACATATCATCAGTCATACACCGTTTGAACAAACACAATACACAGACGCACATACTGACAATGGCGACCTATTGCACAACCCTCATGGCCAACATTTAAAAAGTACATTTCATTACATTTGACTACATATCATTTCATGTGAATGTTAAGAAGCTTAATCGACATAGGTAGGAATGAGTGCTTATAGCGGTTCAGCCTGCTCCTGGGAACCCTGGATCTTCTACCAGAAGGTAGGAGCTGGAATTCTGGGTGGTGCTCTGGGAATGAATTTTGTTAAAACCAAGTTGTCCAAAATGTTTTAAATATCGACGTTGTAGCCTGAAGGCTTTTGTTTTTATGGGTTGCTGTTCCCTAGTGTTCTGTAGAGTTTCCAGCTCCACATTTTCCCACTGAACGCAGGCCACATTTGGCTCCAGCAGTGGATGCTCTGAGTGGGTTTCTCTGGCAGATAGCTGGGATTCCTCTGCTCGAACATCCTTAGCCCCAGGCAGCAGCGTTACCTCTCCCCCACACTCAGCCAGTACCTCACATATGCCATGGGTACAGCTCTTATCCAAAGTGGATAGAAAAACAATATAAGATGACTGTCTAAACGTGTATTAACTGTATGGATTACTTAAGAGGACAAAATGTACGGTGTAGTCAGGAAAACATGTACGAGGAGTGGCCTCAGAGGGACCAGAAACCAGTCTTCTCAGAATGACTCCTCTAACCCTTCAGTGGTAGAGAAACCTTTAACCCTCTTAACTCTCTCTCTGTTCAAGTCGCAATCAAAAGCCTGTGAATATTTAGTTGTTTATACAAACTGAAGGACTCACCAAGCTGTTTTTATTTATTGCAGTGGCAAAGAGTACATTACAAATTGCTGGACTATTATTTAGAACAAAAGCAACAATAGTACAGTTATTTATTTAAAAGAAAAAAAGTGTGATCTGAAATATCAGCTGAAAATGTCTTAGTAAAGGATAGATTTTGATATATATTATATGTAACCATAGCTATCCTTTTTGTCCAAATGAAAAAATGCAGTGGTATTTTTTTGTGACGCCAATTTGAAAGCTCATATTTTAATGTAAATAATATAATAGATTAAGATATTGGTGATATGACCTATATTGGTTTTGTTTCTTGACAAAGTACAGAAATAGAAATATACAAAACAAATGTTCTCGCCACTTATACTCTAAGCCTTTTTATGGCTTTAAATACCTCTGAATGTAATCCTGTTTTCTCTCCTCTTCAGATCCACTCTGCAGAAAGTGTTGCCGGGCCTGAGGTCCATCGATGGCCAGCAGACAGACTCCTCTCTAGCGCCCCCTGCTGTTCCTCAGCTCGGCTCGGCCTCAGGCAGCTTCCTGATGTTCTGCCAGGCTCAGCTTCAACAGACTCAGTATTCACAGCAGCAGCTCAGCAGGGAGCTCAGGTAGGAGACTGATGACTGACTGTCAGGGGGCTGGGTGTCCAGAGTGAATGAGTGCAGGTCCTACCAGTGGTCAGAGACAGTGTTCAGATAGGTGTCTTATTCTGAAATCCACTGTAAATTCTTCCTAGATCTGTCATGGAACAATGAGGGGAAAAAAAGAACTGTGATAACTTATAGTTAACTCGGATAAGTCACATCATTTTCATCATGATATTTTTCTCGAATGCTGACATCAGTGATTTTCCGCTTAATTGGATAACACACATCATCTGTCTTGGCGAACTAACATGTCAAAAGGAATGATTTCTGAAGCAGCTTAATGGGACAGAATGAGGGAAAAGCTCAGCTCAGGTTTGTTCATTCAAATTTGGCTTAGAGCTTTCCTTAAAAAAAGATTTATGAACGCTACATGTCCGAATATTACAGAGACAAGTTCTCTCTTCTTTTTACTTATAATGTATAACTACTGTGTGTGAAGTCATACACAATTCCACACCAAATTAGCAAGAAAATACCAATTCTCTAAAGGTTTTTTCCTCTTGATTCAATCAGCGCTGTTTGTTTGATCAATAGGTCTTTTGAAGAAAAAGAAAACTAAAGAAACATGCAAGGCACGAGGAAAAAGCCCTACATGAATTACAACAAGGGCTGCACAATTATTCAAAATGTTATCCAGATTGCATTATGGACTAGTGCATTATCAAAATCGCTGTCAGCGCAAAATTTGTTGAAAGATATTTGAAAATATCTGAATGAACTATTGTGGAGTTGTTGAGATGTCCCGGCCACAAAAACACTTATAATAAAACCTTGTTTGGTACAGATCCTCTTAAAAGATAATTCCCTCAGTCAAAATAATTGCAATTTGTTATTTTTTCAAAAAATGACAACCCTTATTATAACACTCAAAGACAAATGGGATCACATTGCAAACCAGACTAAACTGAACAGGATAAGCAAATTTAAATGACTACGAATCTATTGACAAGGTTTCACATTACGCGTTTCACGTTGTGCCGATCGGCCTGCGGGACAGACAGACACGCAGCCGTCAGGAATGTCAGCTATCCTCTTGTTATGTCTGATACACAGGGCGTAGTGAGGCTTAAGACAACGTCCATCTATTTTCACAAGTCCTTGTATGTCGCTGGCCTCTGCACACTTTGACGCTCCTCTGCGAGACGGACCACCAACACTTAAAACGGTGGTCAGCTCTCTGCTTATCTTCGTGACCCCTCCAAATTACTCGGCACAAAAGATGAAACGTGGCGGCGGCTAGCAGCCCGGGTCACAGCGAGGACTCCTATGGCTCGGGGGGTCCCTCTGCTTCACCCCTCACTGTGTGCCCTCTACCCCCCTGGCCTCTGGACAATGATCCTTTCTGCGGACTTTGCAAGGACCAACACGGCCATTTAACCCCCGGCCTGACCTTGTGTCTGACTGAGGTTCCGAGGAGGTGAGCGCACCGCCGCCGCGCTGTGACTGTAAGGTGGGACGCCATGGGGTTTATCAGGGGTCCGGTTTCACAACTTCTCTCTACAGGGTGCAGAGTGCAGGCTGAATCCTTTGTTCCTCACAAAAAGCCTACATTAAATACCAAAACGGTCCTTTTTATGCATTTTTCCGAGCAACTTAAATCTCTTTCTATTAATACAAAGTTCAAGAAGTACAAATAGTTCTGTGTTCTCGAGATGTATGATGGGGAATCCATAAACAAACTAGAAAGTGAAGTTATATTTGTAGAAATTCTTTTTGTGTCTGCTGTTTTCCACTTGCCATGTTCTGTCTTCACCAACCAAACCATGTAAAAGACCCTTAGAGAGACACGGCTTAGTGCAGCAGAATATAATGAATCTTTTAATTTTCTCTTCAAACATAGAAATGGCATATGGCCCCGGTTAGGAGACACAACACTGCTGCTATTTAACAAAATACTTTACCTGGATGTAATTTATCTCTGGCACGAATGTCCGATGCGTCACACACACCCACCGTAACCCGTGATGTACAAAGAGAAGTGGATACAGAAAAACAGCGGGGAGCTTTGAAGACATTTTTACCATAGGCTGTATATAGTGGCTAAATTATATAATTTCAACTTCAGGCTCCGTCACCTGATGCTGTTGTGCCCAAAATACTTTTCCCCCTTAGACTTACATTAGGAAAAGACATCTGTAAATCAGTGGCTGGGAGGTGGGGTTATATGAAACATTAGTGCAAATATTCTATGGACCTAAAGTAAGAAAGATCCAGGTACTTTTATACCAGGAAGTCATACTTTCTTTAGCTTTATGAGCTTCTGAACATATTTTATAGGCATGAAAGGGGCCCCGCCTCCAACACAATCCCAGTATCCCCCAAAAATATATTCATATTGGTTTTGTATTGGTATACTGGTCTGCTTTGAGGATAGGAATTTTTTTTTAAGTCTACTTTAAAGGGGACCTATCATGCAAAATGCACTTTTTGATGTCTTTTATACATAAATATGTGTCCCCGGTGTGTCTGGGAACTCATAAGGGTGGATAGCCCCCATTGTTCTGTGTGTCAAAATGAAAGACAGCCCACACACCTATCAATCATCAAACCGTGGGGTCTTATTTCATTACGTGTTGATTTCTATCAACACGTAATGTTGTATCGATGTATATAGAGATGTACTACCGCAAAAGTATTCTCCGTCGGGACTTCCTGCAACAACACCACGCCGTTATCGTGATTCTGATTGGCCAGAAGACATTAGCAAAGATGTTTTATTGAGAAGACGATCACTACGTGACAAAAGTTTTCAAAACTGTTTCTAGTCTTCGGTATTTCCAGACAAGTGGCTACTGAAATCAATCTCACTAACTGCTGTCTGTGCAATTCACTCTAAAGCTATTTCTTGGTATGGCTGTAGCCTACCCCAGCCATACCCTGGCGCCGCCACTGATGATAGGTGACCTTTAAAGCAATACTCACATGCCCATATACACATGTAAGAGTCATCGGTGGAATTCCTTCTAAGAATCTAATATCTATTACTACCAGGATTACAATGTAAGAGATACAATTCACATTCCCAGTTTCTGTCCTCTGTAAAGATGAACTGAAACTCACATGTGGGCTTCAGCAGTCTGACTCAGACCAAGTGAGTAAGCTATAATCGTGCATATTTTCTCTTGTAGTCTCTAAAGAGTATCGCTTCACACGCAACCACGTTTTAGTCATTTTGGTGAGCTGGTGTCTATCCTAAGGTTGATTATAAAACTGCATCTGTACAGCCAATCAATCTGCAATAAATCACCCACACACCCAATTCAATATATTTGGCACAGGTTTTGTGTTGTCCGCTGCTTCTCTTGACTTTCTTGCAGCAGGTATTGGAGCCATGACTTTTTCTTCCCCAAAAGCAATTTTTTAAATGTAGTTGCTCCATGGGGAATTATTTTCCTTAAACATCATTTTCGTTTTGAATGCCCACTTGTAGACCGTGGTTAAATTCCCAAAACAAAAAAAATCACTCACGACCTTACGAAAATGTATAACATATGCATTTTGTTTGCTTTGTACAGCCCTTTGAGGCATTTCTTGTGATTTGGGGCTATAATACATTTAGATATTTTTTTGTTTGATTTGATTTACACAGCCAAAGTTATTAAAAAAAATATATAGGTTGAAAGTGAACCCCGGTGATGCAAAAGCATTTTCTTGATCATTCCTACTCTCTTATAACAGTGGTTTACATGTTGATGGTGACCCTGCAGTGAACCAGCAGGTAATGGGGGGCAGGGGGGGAGGGGGTCAGTGGGGTCACAATCCTTCTGGACCCCCTGACTGCCCCCCCTCTCTGGTCCCACTGAGAGCGAAGAGCCGGGTCTTTGTGGAGCAGAGGCTCCACTACCTGAGGCTACTGGCCCTCAGACTGCTGGGCTCTGAAGCGTCTCTGCCCCCTCAGGGATGAAGACTTGGGCAAAGCATTGCTAATAGATTAATTACGTTTCTATTGAGGTGGCTTTGTAGTCCGTTTATCCCCTCAATGAAAGAGACATTATATGGAATACACAGAGCAGTCAGGCAACTCACTCACACTCACTTCATTCACCTCAGATGAACCGGGCAAGAATAAAACACTTAATGTCTGATATTCCATTCATTAAGATTCTCTAATACTGTTTCAGTATTAGAGAATGCTCCAAACTCAGTTACTCTGAATGTCATGTTCTTGTTTCAATCATTAAAATACACAATGCCATCGATCACTTATTAAGAACATTTTTGATTTAAAGTCTGGTAAGCAAAGACACTGCTGGTAGGGTTTAATATGATTATATACATATTTGTTGTGTCAGAAACACAACATTTGTATTTGTACTCTAGGTAGGTTCATTAAATAGAAAAAAGAACTTGAAAGAATCCCCAATCCCCTTTTTTTGACTGTTTTCCAGTTCTACTGATCCACAGCTCTGATATGATCTACTAATAATATTTCCAATGTCCAACTAATCGCAGTACAACAGATAACAAGTCATAAATCAGTCATCCCATTTTAAAGACATTCTAGAAATAGAGAAACTACACATGGAAATCAGCCAGAAGATACATCTGAGACAAAGCATTTTTCTCCTTTTTTAGATTAATTAATTAACTTTCATGTTCCCCAATACAAATAAATATAACCAGTTTATCGAAACTAAACCTAACACTGTTTATTTTTGTGTGTTTGTCAACAGTAATGCCTCGTCTTCCCTGGATGCTGTGAAGTCCTCCTGCAGACACTTCACTGAGGCTCTGCAGCTGGCTGAGGACCAGAGATATGCCCATGAGTACGGAGACACCACTGTGACTGCAGGCGCAACAACACCTGAGGAAACACTTGACATGGACAGTACCAATACTGAGAACCACAGAGAAATGGAATCCACTGGAAACGTCTCTCCAGTTCTTCCAAATCGAGACAGTACCAGATGCAGCAACTGGACTTTTGAGGATAAGTACGCTGCAGAAATCCAACATAACACATTTAACACTGTTGCAACACATCCAAACACCGGGCCAACAGTTCGAGAAGCAAACTCGGAAAGTGTTCACCCCTCGACAACTTGCTCCAATCTCAAAATGGCACCTGTATCCAACCATGAGGACCTGAACCTCCAAAGGTAATTTACCACACTTTTGGAGTCAGTACTCTCCATTTCTGTGCATCCACTCAATCTATGCTATTATTATTACTATTTAATCTATTATGATTCAATGGTGAATCATAATAGCTTTGTCAAGCACTTTGTAACTATGTCTGGGAAAAGCGCTTTTTAAATACATTTTACTTACTTACTTACTATTGACCAGAGATCAGTGAAATCAGCTTTTCAAACCAAAAGCTACACAAGTGTGCTTTGCTAACTGTAAGCAAACACTATTTTTTATATAATCCTTCATATAGCAGGTGAGCATTTGATTAGTGTCTCCTTCAGAGCATTTTTCACCGCCGGAGCCTCCTCTGTGATTTACCGCAGGAGATGTCGAACATCTTATTCATTTTAACACGCAGCTTCATCATTAACATCTCCGGGAGGGCGATAGATCTCTGATGTGAAGGGTGGCTGTGGACAGGCCGACACCCTCCAGAGTCCTGCTCTCCAGATGTCCGCTCAGAAATACATTCAAACGAAGGTGCTGTGACATCATGTATATCGCTCATTCTGTGTGTGTGTGTTTGTCTGTGTGTGTGTGTGTTCTTTTGTAAGTAGCACAGCAGCAGTCGGGATTCAGCAGCTGTGTGCTTACAGACAGAAAAGTGGAAATGTCAGCCGCCCCTCCACAGCAGAGGAGGGTGGAGGAGGAGATGGAGATGGAGGAGAGCCAGAGTCCGGACCTGCCTTTTTAAATGGGAGTGTTGTTGCTCAGCATTATGCAGCAAGTGTCATCCAGGTATAACCCTTTTAATTGAGTTATTTAACAGGAGTTTAAGTCCAACAAGTGGAGTCATGCGATAATTAAAGGGCAACTATTTCATGTGTGGCGTTCCCTTTGTGACGTAGAAACGTACACACCTACACAGCTTCCATAATCAGTTACATTTTACATATTTGTTGTCATTTGCCTATTTTTCCAACATTCTCCAACCAAAACCTTTTCCCTCTGATCTTATTTTGGAAGGACACGGAAACAAGAACTGGAAATACACAAATGTTCCGTTTACGTAGAACGATCCAGCCGGAGTATGTAACTTGTGTCACCAATGCAACAAGCCACATATCATGAGAGGCAAAATACTTACAACCCAGATTAATGTCTGAGATTTAGGCCCAATCCCAAACCCTACACCCTACCCCTACACACTACCCCTCCGTGAGGGAGTGAACTCTGTGGAGTGACACTCGCAGCTCAACGAGGCTCCCTCCTGTCAGATGGAGGGAGTAAATGCAGCGGCAAGCTTTGGGACAAACTCCCCTCTCTCCGGCAGAAACAGGAAATGCCGTAACTGTGGGTGTTTCTCAATCGCGAGTAAAGCTGCTTCCGAGCCACTATTTCAAGCATACTACGTCATCGAGTGCCGCCGAAGTACTGTTCCAATCTCCAGTATACTTGGAAATCTACCGAGCCCGGCGTACTCCGTTTGGAGAAATATCGAGTGTGCACATGAGTAGACTTCGCGGCCTTAAAATCCCCACAATGCTTTGCGCACGGACCAATTTCCCCAAATCTGTGGCGGAAGATGTAAGGCGGGGCCTCTCATATGACGCACACCTGCACACTTGCTAGCCTGTTCCACACTTCGTTTTCCGAATGGCAGGAAGTATTCTTGACTTGCTTCTGAAGCAAGATGCTCGGCAGACATGTGCTACCAAGCAAGCGTACTCACGATTGAGAAACACCCTTCATGTAACAACCAAGCCCCCAGGAAGTGCGCCGGACTCAGATGAAAATATTCGTGCTGGCCAAACGGCGGTACTACACTTCCTTTTGGTTGCCAGGCCCGGAAACACTTTTTCCCATTGACTTACATGGGGAAAGAGTGGTCTGTAAATCGTTGGATAATTTTTTTTTAAACTAAATAAACTACCCAGTATGAACACTTGTATAGCCCTTATTAAAAATATTCGTTCCTCAAATTGTAAAAATGTGCTAATAACGTTATTCTGTGAGTTATTTCCCTCTGCATTATGAACGCGCATCTAACCCACGGGACCGCGCCGCCCGGCACGTTCATGTTACGTGTTCAGCACTACATGCGTTTATCTTTACCCATGGATGTACAGTAAGAACGGACCCATATCGCCTTACTGCCATCCCACGGAGCTGTAATAATGGATATATTGCACATGTTTGCTGTAATTCATCATTTGTAAAATATTATACTACATGGGCTGTATGATTAAATCTTGTACCGTAAATGTTGTATTAAATAAAGTTAATATTACCGACGTAGATTAACGTCACTGTAGCTTCTTATTGCACTAAGAAGCTTATTGCACTGTATGCACTGTATATATATATATATATATATATATATATATATATATATATATATATATATATATATATATATATATATATATATATTTATATTTATAAAACGGACAAGTAAAATCAAGCAATCTGATTGGTTCTTAGCCGTGGTATACTGAGCGTATACCACGGGTAGAATTGTAAGTTACTTTTCACAACAAGTCAGTATCCCTCCGCGTCTGAGATAAACAGTATACAGTTGGGCTGTTTGCTTTTCAAACTGGAACAAGAAAGCAGCGGAGAAGTAACGGGCAGAAACCCTCCTTTTTACGCAACGGTCCAGACATAGACATCAAACGGCAAAAACATATTCAGTGTGCAGTTCCTTTGGCATTAGGGCAGGGATATTTAGATACTTTCCAAGGTTTGACATAATGAATTGTGCTACTTTTAAAGCAAGCAACCATGTTTTCAAATCTGTAATCAAAAAGGTCCGCAAAAACATTTAAGATATTCCGGGGGGGGGGGGGGGGGGGGGGTCTTACTATGGAGGAGTGGATTGAGGAGTGCCTATCTCCAGAACAAAAAGCACCTAAACGACGACATGTAGAGCTACGTGAAGAGCAGGTAGACCAACTGGAAAAGTATCACCATTCAAAAGCTTTCTGATGCGGGTCTTGAAACAAAGCAGAGAAATTATGACCGTTAGTGGCCACAGGTACGAAAGCTCTCTCCAGAGCTACTGGAAGCCGAATCTCGGGGACCGGAGCAAGTGGAGCAATATTCTCGCCACGCCAAGCAACAGCCTAGAACAACCTCAGCCTATACAAGTAACCACGTAAGCCATGCTACTGATGCTGGACAGTTTTTCAGTGGGTGCACAATAAACGGCAACATACACATTAATGTAAATAAATAGCCAAATAATGGATCAACGCTCTCTGTCTAATATGTTCGCTAGCTGTTGTTAGTGTTGTTGCATAGCAACCACCTCGCACTATGTTTCGTGCAGAAGGCAACAGAGGGACTATTTTATTTTGAACATCATTATTTACTAATAAAAACTATTTAAATTAGAGTGTGTATTTTTCTTTCATATTGCCACACTTGGTAACCGTTTTATAAAAGCAATAGCTCACTTCAGGCCGTGATATATGCTCATTATATCACAGCTAAGGGGGTTGTCGACCCTCCGCTTCGCGTCGGGCCGAACCACGCCCCTTAGCTGTGATATAATGAGCATATACCACGGCCTGTCGTGAGCTATTGCTTAAATATACAGTGCAATAATTCTTTCATGCTAAATGAAGCTCTGTTGCTTGGATACCACTAGATCCTGTTACAGCGTAAAATAAAAGTACATAACGATTGATGTGTAAATTAGCATAATTACTAGCTAACCGCTAGCTGCTAACTGCCGCCTCGTTAATATCAAATCTATCATAATAACAAACCATTACCATACCATGCTGTCATGAACGTGCGGTGCTGTTACGTGGACGCAAATTGACGTGCTTGATGTGAACGAGCATTTTGGGGGGCATGGTTAAAGTTGCGCACATACGGGTACTTCTCAGGCATGCCGGGTAATCTGTGACGTTTCGCTCTCTCAAAAGTTGGGCCATTTTATCATCATGCGCGAATGAGCAACTCTCATAGGAATGAATGAGGCCCCGCCTCCCACGCTGTATCCAGTTCTTATTATACATCCATGGTAACAACGGTTTCAAATCAGCATCTCTTTGACAAAACATTTAAAATAATAACTCAAATAAAACTCCAAACATCTTTAATTGTGTTACTTTTTTGTAAAGCTCTTTTAGTTTTAAACCTTAAACCTTAAATTAAAAAAATATGAGGTTATCATGAGGTTGTTAACATCGCAATTTATCAGTGGATGTTTGCTGGAACTACTTGTAAACAGCGTGTTTCCTGACGGACACACACAGCGTTGAGACCGGTCAGGTAGTGACTGGTCTCAAGTCAGCACCGATGCAGACTCGCTGTTTGAGGGCTTGATAGCCCACTCCCCCTCCACACCGCTCCACACTCGTTGGTTTGGAACAGCACTTAATGTGGCGGACCCTCCACGCGAACGTGCAAATGGAGGGGTAGGGTGTAGGGTGTAGGGTGTAGGGTGTAGGGTGTAGGGTGTAGGGTGTAGGGTGTAGGGTGTAGGGTGTAGGGTGTAGGGCGTGGTTTGGGATTGGGCCAAAGTGTAGAATTGTTTTTCTCCACCAACACTGCAGTTGCACCGCCTTCTGACAGACCATTTTTTCTGAGCTCATAAAGTTCAAATATCTGACCTTAATTTAATCCACCTCTTAGAGCTTTTCTAATCATCGTGTCTAAGTCCAGTTCAGTCAACCCATCTATTAGATCACTATGTCCACAGATGCATTGGAAACTAAAGAAGACTGCATTAGAACAACTCAAATGTCAGAGAACAGAAATGATCAAAATATATGGTCAATTTGAGGTAATTGGTCAATTCTATTTTTGGTTTGTTGGTTTATCATTGCGTCTATGAAATGTCTGAAAATAGGAAAAATTACCAATCCCAATTTCCCATAGGTTAATGTGCAGTCTTCAGATTGGTTGTTTGGTCCACCCAAGAGCAGGAACACTAGCATCCAGTAAGCTTGAGTGAGCAATTGTAATTATTGTAAAGAAAAAACAAAACAAACTTCACTATTTAATTCAGCATTTGCTTGTTAACCTGTCAATGTGCGATTAAGCACCTTACTGCTACAACTAGAATTTTCCAGTGAATATCTGAATATTTCCATTTTCACCCTTCAACATTTATCTTCATTCCTCATACGTGTTATGGAGGCTTATTCTGCTAATCCTCTGTGTATAGACACAGGCTGCTGTTCTAAAAAACATGCTACTCAACACTTCTCCCAAATCACTCCGCATCACACAAAGTGTTTGATGGGTCCTTAAGGGCTCTCGGAGGGAGGAGGTGGGAGTGGAGGGACTGTAGAAAAGTGTGTTGTGGTGGGATGGGGGATTCGGAGTGATCCATCAGATTCCAAAGAAGTGCGGTAGTAAGAGTTCTAGGATTCCTGCTCGGCTCTACTTGAAGTGAAGTGTGCCCCCCGCGGCCCTCTGGGAATTGGAGGATTTAGAGGCTCACTGGAGCTCCATTTGTCTCAGTCCGGAGTCACACAGAGTTCAGACAGCAGAACACTGCGCAATTAAAAGAGAGGTTAACATGTTTTATCTCTCTAATGGGATAGCACACAATATTTACCTCGTGATTCATGGAGTTTTTAATTTATTTTTGAACCATTTCTTCAGGCGTTTTGGAGGGGCTTTTCTCTGAGGAGGAGGCTCGCATCTGCTCTGGCTGCTCTCACACGCCCTGACGCTGCAGAGGATGACACCTTTGAGGAGGTGGACGTGGATGAATTTGACTTCGATGAGGTATGTGCTCCTCACGTTCATGGTTCAGTTGTTGCTTCCCCCACGACCTGTCAGACACACAAACCTGCACAGAGCTGGATCTTTAATAACTATCCAACATTGTATCCATACAGTTCATGCTCACCATCCCACATGAATAAAAACATGCATAAACACAGAAATATGCACACACATGCAGAAAAACCTGTGTGAAAAGACACCAACAAATACAGGTTTACACATGAGTCCAGAAACATGAATATTTAGTGAGTGTGTGGGACAGAAACTCCCTCTGGAGGGAACACAGGGAGTTAAGCCTTTGCAGACCATTTACATGCACTAAAGCCTATATAACACACTACACAATACTCTTTGTTGTTCTGCTCTTGTCCTTTCCAGAAATATGCAATTACTGGTAAATACACATGTTTTCTTTCGTAGGCAGCGTTGGAGAAACAGTGGACATTGTCCCTTCCTGAGGACTCCCCTCCCAGACGTTACCTTATGTCAGACCAGCCACGGTCTCTGAAGGTAATATCTTATACTCTGAAAACCTGGTGCTTTAGTGAAAGTGGTCCACCAATTGTGTGAATGTCCAGCCCCTGTGTGATGTCAATGGAAGAGTTATTTTCTTGTTTCTTTCTCATCTTGGCCATCGCCGCTTTCAGGATTTCCCTCACTCTCCTCTTTGAATTTACTCTTTTGAAAAACAAGATTATTTCCTGGAGGGCTGAAGGTTGCTCCGCACCAGCAGATGTCATTTTTCACACTGGCGTATCGTCGTCCTGTTTTTTTCCCCCTTCATTTACCTCTCGTTGGATCTTTTCTTTGGAGCGCGCTCAGCACTGTACATCACGGTGGCTGCTTTAGGCCAGCTGATGCGGCGCAGCTGCCATCAGGCCGGACTTATTGTGTTGACACCGAGGTACACATCAAAGGCAGGGATCAACAATTTAGCACTTTCACACCAAAATGGGATCTGGAGAGAAATTAAGCTGTTAGTTTGACTTACATAAGAGCATTCCTTTTGTGAACATGCTCTGACAAAGACCTAAAAAGAAAACATGCACTTGATTTAAATGTTAGTGGACATTCTTGTACACATCATATTTCATTTTACACATACTCAGGACTATATTGTCTAGACAGAGAGGCACATATTTTTACATTTAGAGCTCAAGCCTCACAAACTTCTAAAAACACACATGTTTTTTTATTTTCTTATTCAATTTTCAAATGTAAAAAGTGGAAATGGAAGATTTGAATGAAATCCTCCTTAATCGTCCCACGAACAGTATACACAGTACCGCACACACAATGGGTGTTTCTCAATGTCGAGGAAGGCTGCTCCAGAGCCACTATTTCAAGCATACTACTTCATCGAGTGCCGCCGAAGGACTGTTCCAATGTCCAGCATACTTGGAATTCTACCGAGGCCGGCGTACTTCGTAGCGAGAAATTTCGAGGCTGCACATGTGTAGACTCCGCGGTCTTAAAATCCCCACAATGCTTTGCACACGGACCAATTTCCAAATCTTTGCCGGAAATCACGCTCCATTTAAGGCGGGGCCTCACATATGACGCACACCTGCACACCTGCTAGCCTGTTCCACAATTCTTCGTTTTCCGAGGCTAGGAAGGATTCTTGCCTCGCTTCAGAAGCAAGTGACTCAGAAGACATGTGCTACCAAGGAAGCGTTCTCAACATTGAGAAACACCCAATGAAAGTTAGTCTTGGCTTTATACCCATGCTTGGGTAGCTATTTCAGATCAACCAGAGATCAGCGATCTGGTGTCCTTGCTCAAGTGCACCTCGGCAGTGCCCAGGAGGCAAAACTGGCACCTCTCAAGTCATCAGTCCTCACAGAATGGCCCCAGTCACGTCTCTCCAGATAGAGCGACAGTCGCCCATATGTAAAGAACCACTTCAGTAAATGAACAACTATTTTGAAGCCAATTTAGGACCCAATAAACAAGTGATTTAAAATCACTCCAACTGTAAAAGTGTCAAGAACTTTGGATTATTGCTGACACTGTTTTATGTATTTGTTTCAGCCTCCTGTTCACTTTCCTGAAGCCTCTGAGTATATACTCTCACCCCCGCCTGTGTGGAGGCCGAAGCAGGCCTGGGTGCCTCCAGAACAGGCTGCTGAACAGAGAGTTTCCCCTGAGAGCTCCAACAGGTAGACTCACCCACAGCCTTATTACTGCCTGCCATTTAACTGCATTTGGTACCAAACATCTTACAAAGTAACAGGTTGTTGGTGTGTTTTTGTGTGAGTAGGTTTCTAACCACAGAACAAACTCAAACTCAGTTTAGAATGGGGAATATGCTGTAGGTGTTTAGCAGGCTACTTAGAGTAACTATGGTCTTCATATTCACACCTTAAAGGGGACCTATCATGCAAAATGCATTTTTTTTATGTCTTTTATACATAAATATGTGTCCCCGGTGTGTCAGGGAACTCACGTAGCGTCAGAAAATAAAACCCTCTCTCTTTTCCTCCGTACCCAAATCTCTAAAAACGGGGCTACAACGGAGCTGATACAGATTTGCGTCCGATATGACGTAATATCGGAAATGTGGGCTGGCTTTACACCCACGGCCCTATCAGAAAAGTTGCTATCAGAATCAATGCCCAACTGTTTTGGACGTAATATGGTCGGTGCATGTTTACATTAGCATCGCTAACACTCAGAGCTAACCTGTACTGGAGAGCATGTGTGTGAAGAAGCAGGAAATAAAAAGGAACTCCCCTTGTGGTATAACCGGCAAGAGAGAAAGCCTTTGAGCTCCATACTGTTTCAGAAATAATCCTTGATAATCCATGATATGGCGTTTCATCACGGCAGTATTTAGTTTAGACAGTAGCTGCCGGGTCCCACATGAGCTCAGACCCCTCCTTTTTTTTTTTAATCAATCTTTTTTTAAGCTTTATACCCCAAATCAGCACTTTTGAAACAGGAAATGAAATAGAGGGATATGGGGCATGGCTAGAATGGGTGATCTGTTTGGTATTTTGAGCAAAACACTTCATAGACATGTTTTTGATATTTTTTATATATATCTGAGACCTATGCCTAAAAATAACATGATAGGTGACCTTTAAGTAGGATGTACCAATAAACTGAGATTCATACGACACAGACTTTGTAATATTCATATATTTAAAACAAAGGCAATGGATAGGAATGACATTAGATTTCACATTGCTTATTGTCCATGTCATGATATAGAAATTGCTCCAGAACTAAAGTGCCATCTACCTTACAGTCTTTAATAAAGTGCGGTAAAAAAATAGTTTAACAACCTATTTTAAGCTCAATAATCTCTGTGTGATTTCAGAAGCAAGTCTCCTGCTTCAGCGTCGGTGCTCAGCCGTCTCTCTGAAAGATCGGAAAAGATTATAGAAGAATGGTAAATCATCGTCTTATCATATATCTTCTGTTGATGTGAGTTTTGTTATTTCACTGAATGTAATTATGTGTGTGATAGTCTGACCTTTTTTTTTTTCAGGGGGTTCACTCACAGCCACACAGCTCTCCAGATGCTCAAGAGAGCTCGGAAGATGAAGTCAACTAAACAACAGCAGACTAAACGTAGAGGTGAGTGTGTCTAAAAGGATATCGTTTTAAATACACACTCAGTTTCCAGATAATTACTGAAGGTACACCTGGCTTAAAGGTAGGGTAGGTAAGAATGGAGAAACCAGCTCGAGTGCGCTAGAATTTGAAAGTACGCAGCCGAAAAAAATCTGCCCCTTCCTTCAGACTTCCTTACAGAGCCCCTCCTCCAACACACACGAACGTTCACATGACCAATGAGGGCACGAGATAAGTTTATGCACAGATGGAAGGCTGACAGGCAGGTAGGCCATCCAGTTATTTTAGCCGGGCGACAGGCACAGATGATTGGTCGTGCTTTTTACAGCGCCACGGCTTCCACAGATGACATATTTTTATGTATTTATTGTCAAAGCATTTAAGATATTCATTGCTATCGGGATGTTAAGAGCATTCCATGGAATATAACAAAAAGTGTTTCTGAAGTGAATTACCTACCCCACCTTTAAACTTCACATCTCATACACAACTGTACAATAACTTTAGAGGTTGCATTGCGTTATACTGACAAGTGATTCTATTATTTTGTCCACCCTATCCACATCTATGAGGGTAGACTTAATAGCATCAACACCTCCATGTAACAATTGTTTGCATTTGTGTTTCTTGTATGTGGAATGTTTTAGCTTCTTATCCAATTAGCATAAAGTTATATGAAATGAGAACAATTATAAAGATAATGCCGGCAAATCAGAAAGCTCTTATGTTTTCTTTGACCTAATAAATCGCCTCAAATACAAAGCTTTCTTTAATCAGTAATCCTTCCTCACCTGAACTAATGTGTCTTCCTGTCTCCTCATTCCTAATCTTTAACACCAAATATCCCTTACAAAATGGAAGGAGCTGCTCTTGGGACATAAATCCATTTTCCAAAACGGGAAAAAATCCACACCCATTATCGCCTCTTTTCATTCTCGTCTTTGTTCCTTCAGCTGTGCTTCAGCAGCCAACCTTTCCACCCCGCGTATGTTAACGAGCCATAACAGACAGCAGAAGCCAGGAGCTGTCGCCTCTTGTTGAGCCTTATTTGAGAGCCTGCGAAGGAAATAACGATTGCCAAGAAACCTCTTGACAAGTCTTCCTGTGATGACTTTCATTCCCTCTCATTGTAGTGGTTGAGCAGTGGAAGGTGACCTCACCTCCGCTCTGCACCGACGAACAGTAGTCCTGCCACGATTATCATGCCAACGTCATGTAGAGGGAGGCTGCTCTTTGATCAGAATTACAAATGCATGACTCCAATAGCAGGGCTCTTGTCATCTTGCTCCACCCGCACACAGGTCTATGTCTGAACTAACTCCTAATGGCATCTGCCTCAGTGGAACCAGAGCGCTGTTCTAAAATGTTCCGAATGTCATATTTTGGTTTTCTGTTTCTTGTTTGAAGCCTGCCTTGTCCTTCTTTCACCCTTTCTCTCTTTTTGTCTCTGCTAGATCCCTTTGACCGCCATTCCTCGGTCAAAAAGTACAGTTACCAGCTGGGACCAGTGGAGGCACGAAACAGGCCAACACAACACAACAGGAATGAAATAAAAGGTAGGAAAACACGCTACTCATTTAAATACACCTTTACATAGATTTAATGTTTAATCTTTAGACTTGAGACTGTTCATTCAATTCAGACCATTGACTGTTTATAGAAAGAGGCCATAGGCACTGTGACGTCACCCATGTTGACTACGGTTTCAAAGTTTCTACTTTGGCATGTTGGCCGTCGCCATCTTAGCTTTTGGCCATAGCCTTCATGGATGAATAGGGAAACATCGATACAGCATTGGAGGCGGCATGAAACCAAAATGACCTGACTCACAAATACAAAAATACCCAGACGATCCGGGAATCTGGGCCTATAGAGCATGCGACCTGTGTTTTCCTTAAACCCCGCCTCCAATCTGCAGCGCCATTGCCGGTCTCGACTCAGTCAAATGAATGTCGGAGGGAAAATAACTATGGATTTGACCTTTTAGGGTATTTAACAATTCTAGGACAATCATTTAAAAAAACGCCTATTTATGTGTTCATCCTGGTAAGTTGATATATGTATACAAAAAAGTATCTGCTGATTTACAGACGTAATTTAAGTTCCAATACTAATTAATTAATTTAATGGGAAACAATATTTGTTGTCCCAATGACATCACGTGACTGACATACGTTGTAGTACCACCGTTTGGCCACTACGAAATGTGCGTGCGTGCTGCTTAGCTCAGTCTAAGGAAAATATAGATTTTTTACAACTTCATTATTTTCATAGTTTTGGCAATTGTCAGTGAGAATAACATGGAATGGCTTATGTGGTGAGATCTGCCAACATAGTTACATCACTGAAATAAAGTTTGAAGTACGGGTGAAAAATACATCACCATAGTAATTTTGGAAATATTATGCCTGTATTAGCAGTTTTTGTGGTTATTAAAACCAGAATGTTCCAGCAAAGCACAGACTACTTTCTGCAGATGCTTTCCCTTGTTTTATAAAGCAATGGTTTGTTTTTTAAACTGAGTTGTATCTGAAGAATTTCTTAAAAAAAGAAGTCTGTCATGTTTCTAAACAGAACATATCAGGAATAAGTCATCAACCATTTGTTATGAGAAATTGTTGCAAAAGCAGCACTTACACAAAAAAGACCCAGGTTGTATGAAAGCAGAAATTCTCCATAAAATTAACTCACTGGTAAGTACAAGCTTGATTAAAACAATAAATGTATCTGGTTTCACACAACTTTCAGTATCAAGGATGACATTCTTCTTTAAAACCTCATTCTAATTGCTATGGATAATACAAACAATGTCAAAGAGTTAAGTGATTGACAGCTGTAAAGTAGATTGATAGTCCCAGTAGACGAACACATCTCCCTCCATCTTCCCCGCCCCCTGCCCTGAGGTGCAGACATGATTTGGCTTTGTGACGTCCACAGCCAGACTTAAAAGGGAGGGAAGAGCTTCAGGGAGGGAGAGGGGGGGGGGGGGGGATTTGCTTTTATCATGCCTGTCTCCATCTTTCCTCCGCACCCCCCCTCCCCCTCCAGGGTCAAGGCCTCACATCCACAGAGCTTGCGGTCATCCAGCAGTCAGAGCGTTTGCCAACAGGCAGTGAAGGGACTGGTCCAAGTCCAATGCTCATATTAGCATGAAATAGCCTTAATAAGCCGTGCAGGAATATGTTTCCTTGTCATTTCATGTTAAAGTTATAAGTTGCTAAAACTGATTTATTGTTGTCCAGGAAAAGATCAAGCAACAACTTACTCAAACATTTTTAAGAATCTTTTATTATTTTTGCCAAATTTACAAGGCACTTTCATCAGACAATTATGCAGGTGTGGTATGTCACTGTGACCACTGACACTAACATGTGTTTGTGCACAACATAGCTTTGGATAGACTTTCAGCCAACTGGCAGTCGAGGACCGGCTCCATCCAAATGACATATTACGTTACAACAATATTTCCAGTTGTGTTTATTTCCAATGTCCTTATCGCTCCTCTCCGCCCTTGTCTTGATAATTCATCAAACAGGACTGGTGTTTTTGAGAAGCAGCTACATCAGCTGATAAAGGAAGAGTGTCTTTGGTTAAAACATCACTCAGTTTCCCAATTTAACAAAGTGGGATCCTGCAAAATCTGTTACTCTAATGGCGCATTTCCACTACAGCGCGGTTTAAGCCTGCCGTGCCGTGCCGTGCCTGTTTTTGGTTGCGTTTCCACTAGGCGTAGTTCCGGCTAGCGGGTACTTTTTCACAGTTTTTCTGGCTCTCCAAATTCAAGGTTCTTTCTGGGCCAACAACCGGCCTGAGTATGCTAAACTAGTAAGAGAATCGCTGGCAACTACAACAAAATGAACATATCTTACCGTGATTTAATTGTAATACATGTTTCAAAATGATGCCGAAGTAACAACATACTGATACCGGTTAGTAAAAACCATGAATTAATGCTTTGTCAAGTCTGCAGACAGACGGCAGGGGAAAAACCTTTTAAAATGCGTGTTTTCTAAATGGAGATCGGCTAAGCTAACGCAGTGTATGCTCCGACCGTCCACACTCACAACAACGGCCTATACAGACATAAATAAAGCAGCGACTGTATTCACCATGACACAGACGGTCTGTGGTTTGTACTTGTTTAACTTTTGTCTAGTTTCTGAACATATATAAGGAGCTGTGAGCTCTGAGTGCTAACAGCTAACGGCTGATGTTGGTTTTGCGTTTCGCATTGAAGATGACGTCACGGCTCCGCCTACACTGTGTTACTATAGTTACTGCCCCAGCTACTAAACTGTAATGGAAACGCAGCATAAAGTGAGCCTGGCCTACCAAGGCCTAACTATACCGTACTAAGCCGTGCGAGGCCCTGCAGTGGAAATGCACCATAACTAGCCCCGTTTTAGAGGTTTTCTAATTCAACAGATTCTGTATAATGGGTTAAGGACTCGACGATATATCCCTGCACTTTCACTTTATCTGCATATTGAAGTATGAAAGCTTGTTGTTTGTATGTGGTCTCCTCCTGAATGTTGTACATCTCTTGTTGGTTTTTTGTATTTTTGATGGCACCTTAGAAAAAGGAGTAGCTCTAATCATCTCATTGTACCTGTATAATGACAATAAAGGATTCTATTCTATTCAGCTGCCTTTTTCCAAGGTGATTGTGAGGTAGCAGCACCGGTGGCGGTGTAGCTGGTGCTCAGGTCTGTAAACGGGCCCTCCTCCCCTCCTGCCCCCCTGGTCCTGACCTGTGGGAGCAACCCCTCCTCCGGATCCGTCCCCAGCGCCCGGGGACTCTCAGCCCGGCCCGGCCCAGCCTCGCTCCCCGACAGGGGCTAACGTTTCAGGCTTTGAGTCAAGCCCCTTCTGGAGGTGATTAGCCCCAAACCCATGACAGATTCTTTCCAAGATATCCGACGCGGCGTGTTTATTTTATCCGGGCTCTTTGTGTGGATGTGCTGGACATGAGTAACCCACTTGAAATGGGTATCAGCTTACATACCCAGAGAGGGAGATAGAGAGGGAGAGAATGGAGCAGAGCCACAAAACATTTTCTCTTTAGAGGCAAAAAATGTAGAAACACACTTCCCCTTTTTTTTTTGTATGGTTTGTATCATCATGTGTCTGTGTGCCGCAGATGTTGCAGATGTTGTGAAAGCGTTTCTCCTTGGTTCTCCTCTTACTTGTTCACCAACTCCTTTCACTCAAGCCCCCCAGGCACACACCCCCTTCCAGCCTCCTTCTTCCAGCCCACCAAACATCCGTCCTCATGTCAGAGAGACACATGGGTATATATTTTTATTTCAGACTGGAACCCCTACCTCCTGAGCACTTAACTCGATTTCACACTTCAAGTCCTCTACAAAGTCCAGCTGAAACACAATCGTCTTGTTTATCATCCATCCTCCAAAATAACTTCATGTCAGACTATTTACCACCATTCATATGCATTCAATTTCACCCCCATTATCTCGTATTTATCTCAGGCAGTGGAGCGCTCTCCTCATAGAGTATGTTTGACGGACAACCAACTAACAACTGACCTAAGATCTTTAAAATGGCAGGCTTTCTGACTCACCTTCCAAATTTGGCATCCTTTTTGCCTTTAGACGTGGAGGACACGCTACAAAACTTTGTTTTAATACCTCTACAGTATACCTTACAACTTTATAAAGATCTGTCTTACTTTATGGTTCAACTTCCTTGCCGATCTACCATACTTGTTGTAGTTGTGTATACTCACAGCGTCTACTGTGCCAATCAGAAGTATGACCAACATTACAGGTGTTTTCATTTTTGTTTCATGTACAACTACACACTACAATCTCACTTTTTTCTCATTTACAACCTCACTGTTTACAGTTACACTTCTGTCTTTATTGTAGTTTGATTCCCACATCTCCGCTCACTTTCCCTACACTGTCCCGGATCCTCACTCACAACTCATTCAGTTCTTATTGGGCTCTGCTGTGGTCCTGATGCACCGCCTGACCCTGGGTTGTTTGTTTCTGCAGTGAGGGAGGAGGAGGAGGAGGAGGAGGAGGCTCCAAAGTGCCAGCATTATGTCTCTCCTTCAGCTGGGGTTTTCTCCCGGCCAAAGCCTCCTCCCCCTCCCCCCCCCCCCCCCCTCCTCCTCCCAAACCCTCTGATATTAAGTCAGAGCTCTTCCCTTCTCAGAAGAGACGAGATCTCTTAATGTGCTTAAGAGCCCCTCTTAACAGGCATGACTCCTACAGGCCCCCTCCTGATGTCCTGGAGGAGAACTGGAGGGGGATTCAGGAGGTGGAGAGGGGTCAGCAGGGGGCTTCAGGGGGGGGAGAGGGAGAGGAGAGACGCTCTATGCTACTGAAGTAAACTCTTTTCATGGTGCTCATCAACTTGTGATTTATACTTTCCACCATTCATGAATTCACATCTAGGGATTTCAAATTTAAAGCCATTTTGCCTTTCATTTGTATTTACTTATCAATACAGGATCCTATGATTAGATAGATAGATAGATAGATAGATAGGTAGGTAGGTAGGTAGGTAGGTAGGTAGGTAGATAGATAGATAGATGGATGGATAGATAGATAGATAGATAGGTAGGTATAGGTAGATAGATAGATAGATAGGTAGGGATAGATAGATAGATAGATAGGTAGGTATAGGTAAATAGATAGATAGATAGATATATAGGTAGATAGATATATAGGTAGATAGATAGATAGGTAGATAGATAGATAGGTAGGTAGGTAGGTAGGTATAGGTAAATAGATAGATAGATAGATAGATAGGTAGATAGATATATAGGTAGATAGATAGATAGGTAGATAGATAGATAGGTAGGTATAGGTAGATAGATAGATAGATAGATGGATAGATAGATAGATAGATACTTTATTTATCCCAAAATGGGAAATTATTTTGTCACGCAGCAGTGTTGTGAAGCATTACACAAGTAAAAAATATTGAAAAGATACAATAGGATACCAATATAATAAAAATAAAAATGAACATCAGCGACAAGTACATTCAAAGTCACAATAGAAAGGACATATATCACTAAAGTATCTAAGTAATACCCAATATAAAGAAAATATTGAACACTCTACAATCTCACTAAGCTACAGAAATATATTGAAATATACAATAGACACATATTGCCATTGGATTATACTGTATACATTACAATTGTGCAAAGTAGCAGTTGTGCAAATTAAAAACTATCATTTATGAAAACATGCACGACATCCCCCTTTTTTTGGAGTGCTTCATTGAGCACACTTTCTCTTTTTCCAGACTGCCTTCGCCTTGTCTCTCTGTGTGTTTTCAGCTTTTGGGAAGTGCGAGTAGCCATTTCCTGTCCGCCGCGGCCCCGGGGGAATCATCCATCACTTGACATTTTTAGTGGGGGCTCCTCAATTAACCCATGAAAACTGTAAAGCTATTCTCCCCCCTGTTTTTTTTTTTACAGCTCAGCAAAAGCAAGTTAATGGCTTAAATAAATGCATCATTAGTTCCAGCATCAGGCTGTCGAAATCCATTATCAGTTTACACCCATCTGCGGCGGCATTACTGTCAGCACAACGTAAATGTTTGCTTTGAATTACGACCTTATTATGGGATTTCAGCATAACCTCGTAAATCAGCAGCCCTTCAGATTCCTCTCTTTATCAAACACTGCTTAGATTCAATTTAACAAAGAACCACAATTGTTAGAAAAAGTAGATCCCCTCCTGTTGCATCTATCAGCGACTTTAAATAGCAATGCCCCTGAGTCCTCCAAACAAATACACCACCTTAAGCCCAAACATAAACACTTGGAGCTCTGACCACTGATCTCTCGGTGCTGGGAACTGGCCGGCTGTAATTACAGTGTAACATGTCAACTGTTGCTCCAGATCAGGCCCTTTTGAGCTGTTTATTTGTTAAGCTTGTACTTCTGTGAGAATCTGTTAAAACAACCCCTTCCCTGCAGTATTGATTACGCCGAGAAGCATGCCACCTTCACCACAACTTTCCCTGATCAGGCACAGCACTCTCATCAAGAATGTTGCTTAGCTTTCAAGAAAAATAATGGCCAGTGACGTTTGTTTGATGTTTCCTGTCGAGTGCAGTTGTCCAGGCTGAGCTGGAGCTTCAGCAGGCGGAGAAGGTGGAGCGAGTGAAGCAGCAGCGAGCTCAGCATTGGCTTCAGACCCAGGCTGCTCGCTCTGACCGGGGCTCAGAGAGGTGAGGCGCTTCATCAGGGGCAACTGTTTTAAATGGTCACTTTAACCAATAACAGAAAAAAGCATTTTGTAATCTTTTTGGAACGTTTTCTCTGTGATTTCTGTCTGTGCAACTGGGACGTTTTGTCAAGAGACACTCGTTGCTGTTGAGCTTTTAAATATGAAACATTTAAACTCTCTGAGCATCAAGAATGTAATAGTCCTTTATGCTGTATAATTGACCGCATGTCATGGAGTGTAATAAGGTACCTTTCTATGAGACAACTTTATTTACCTAAAAGGTCTTCAGCAATGGTACATACGTTCATACTTCTAGATGTGGGCTTACATACTACTCAGTATCACTCCGCGCCACATCAGTAACATCCTGATAGTATACTGTATGTGCGCTGCACTATATACTACAAAAAATTCACTTTTTATTCTATTGTGGACGCAGTATACGTCTCAGAGGGGGATACCGAATAGGCAAAACTATTTGTAGGGCGAGATGCCACTTATCTTTCCACTAAAATGAAGTTAAATTAACAATTTTACAGTAATTAAAAATACATTTCCATCCAAAAAATATTGCCAAACTCCCATTTAAGGGATGCTTGCCTCCTGTAATGGATGCATTTATAACCAACAGTACAAATACACGACATCGTTCTGTGTAGGGAAAGTGAAGAAACACAAATTTAAAAAACAAGTGAGACGAGGGAGATTTGATTTATTTCAAGTGGTCAGGTTTTATTAATAAAAAAGAAAGGATATCTGATTGGCCATGCTTAATTCTGTTAATTTAAAATGTTATTATTGTACTGATTGTTTTTGGATACCAAGGAACAAAGTTTCACCAAAATGCCAAAAGAGTTTAAGCTGACACTTTATTATAACTGCTGTTTATTCAAATACATACCATAAAACATTCTGTAACCGAGGCAGTGAGCAGCATGTTGGCCTGTGCTACCCCCTACCTAACAAATAGACATTAAGATGATCAAACATGGCATCTGTGTTTATTTGGTCAGAGGTAATAGCTTAGCGAGGAAGAAAGGAAACTGCTGAATTGATTTGAGATATGCAGAGCTCTAAATGTTCGGCCTTTTTTTTCTTATCTTTTACTCAGCGTGCATTTCTTACCGGAGATCAGCTCGGACATTCTGAACGGAGGCAGAGTGCAGCTCGTGGTGAGTACACCCCCCCCCCCCCCCCTCTGTTTCCCTCATTTATTTAAATGACAGTGCATCTTGATTTTGATCTTCTCTAGGGGGGTTATTTTCATGCATGTGAAGGTATGCAGTATTTACATTCAGCGGTCCTGCAGTGGGTTCCCTCTCCTGGAGCCTGTCTCCTTGGTTTTAAAGGAGGCAGGGGGGGAGGTTTGTTTCGCTCCACAGTGACACTTCCAATTGGATCAACCGGCTGCAATTTCTTCATTTTACTTGCAGAAATCCCAGTGTCACTTTGGAGAAGTTTGCATGGACCCGTGAACGATCGTGAGGGCTTTGAAGTCGGGAGTAACAGGTCTCCCTGCCCAGTTATAGAGCAGTTTGAGTTATGATCACTGGCAAGAGGAGACGCCCTCTCCTCCTGTTTCTTAGATATGTTCAGACGGCAGAGCCCCTGGTTGTTGAATGTTATTCAAAATGCAGGAGTGCTTGCGTGTCATGTTGGGCCTCTTTTCTGTGTGTGTTTCTGTGCGTGCAGGCAGACCTGGGATCCGCAGAACGTCACGCCAGCCGATCGTGCGCCAACAACAGTTTAGCTGCCCAGCCCTGCAACGAGAACGATTATCCTCGCAGAAACTCTTTGGGTCATGCAAGTGAGTCGTCTTTCTACCCAAAATCGCCCCGTTTACAGGGGATTTCCGAGTGATTGTTGAACAGAATCCAAAAAAACATTAATAAAATGTTCTGAAACACAATATACGCCTATTCTCTTAAAGTAAACAATTCATGTCACTGACTCTGTTTTTAATCTTCTCTTACAATAACTGGTAATCCAGATAAATGTCAATAGAGACTTTTAATGCCAATGTTTGATTTAAAAGCTAATTTAAACAACATTTTCAGTAAGGGAATAATGAGCAGTGTTTAATCACAACAATAAAAGTAACGTTTTTTTACATATAAACATGCCTCCATACACACATGCCTAACCTATGATTCAATTAATAGACAGACAGACAGATATATGTATACTGTATGTATAAAATATGGTTGTATAACATATTTACTTCATGCTTATGTTAGCTTTATGACACTTTTTATTAAGTTAAACTGACATTTTGCCTAAAAAGTCCAAATGTTTCAAGCTATTTCATGTACAAACCTAAGAATATATATCATCAGTATCATATATTGTCATTATTTTAATATCTTTGTATGCAAATGTGTGTATATACCTGTACATTAAGCACATGTGTGTACAGATGTTTTGCACCCGTGTGTCTCGGGTCACACAGGCCTACAGTAAGTACGCCGAGTCTCGATAAAGTCTGCTGCTTATCCAACCTACACTGAGTCCACTAGTCGGCTGTTTCTGAAAGGGGAGGGGGGGGGGGCAGCATGAGGTCGGGCCGGGGACAGAGTGCCGCGAATTTCTCCTCTGACAGGAAACGGGCAAAAAAAAGTCCTTTCAGTGACGAATGACTGGGTCTTCTGTCAGGAGTTTGAGCGACAAAGATGCCACTGACAGACTGACGGCAGATGACCACTTTAAACAAGCTCAGGAATCCAAGTGAAGGAGAGCCCTGTCCCCGGTAACAAAGACAAATTGGATTCCGGTGATGATTTCAAAATGATTTCCACGAGGTGCAGCAGCAGCGAGCGTTGTCGTGTTAGGCAGGCGGACCGTTGTTCTGCAGAGAGAAAGCCCCTTTGTCTGCGATGATGAAAACACCACTTAAGCAACATTTGTCAAATTGAAATATGAATGTATGTCCAAGGCAAGAACATTTCTCATAAAGCCAATTAGATATTATATAAACTTGGAAAGGGCACAAAGGGTTCTGAGTTGCATCATGAAAAACCAATTCGAGGAAATTGGTTGAAAATAGGGAATTAGCTAAATAAGCAGCTAATCTTTTTTTAGTCAACCCACACCCCCAAATAGGCACAACAAATAATATTGATCATATATGTTGTGCCTTCTGAAGTGGCGTGCATACATCAAAGTGAGGCTTTAAAGTGACGAGGTTCACTTGCTTTGCCATTGCAGTCACGATGACATAAATACTCTATAACCCGCTGCAATGCGATACTCACCACTTGCTGGGACGCTGCCATAAAATGCGTTTCCAGGCTCACAAAATATTTTCATTACCTGCACACAGGAAACCACTTGAGTTGCATATCTGCTCCCGCAATTTCGTCCGCCGTTCAACTCTAATAGGAGTAAAATGATCGAAAAAATGTATTTGGTCACAGCGGTTTGGGTCCAATGTGCGGCCATTTCTTTTCCCCCCATCTCCGTACATTAAATGGCACGACCGCAGTACTTTCGTCGAGATATACAGGTTCTGTTTTTGATTTAGATCAGATAATTGGACAAAAGTCTTTAATAAACCACCCGAATTTCTGAAAATAAACACAAAGACTGCGGTGGTTTATTTTCAAACTGCATTACACGAAGGTGAGTGGAGGAAAACGGTGTTACACGACAGACATGTGTAAAATCTAAATCTTTAGAGGTGCAATTAGGTATGACTCGAGAGTGGTTGGATATTCTATACAGTGTGCCAGCTGTGCAGATATCTGGAGCCGTATCTGCCCCCCCACCATCCTCCAGAGCCCCCCCCGCTGTGTGGCGCCCTGTGTGTGGCGGCCGACACGTGGAACGCATCACGCCCGGTCGAAGCGCTGCCTTTGTACTGTGTGTTTGAAAAGCTCTGCACTGATCCCCAGGTGGAAAGGAATGGGCCTCTGGTGCAGCTCACACACAACTCACCTGCTCAGACTTAAGACTTTACAGCCAGGTTTAATATTGTGTTGTCTCGAGCCTCATGAAAGACAGACTCAACTGGAGTCAAAATGTAACTCATGCAAGGTCAAGAGTTGCACATTTCTTGTTTTAAGGTTTTAAGGAACACTCTTTGTGTTAGATTATGTTATTATTGCTTAGATAAATGGCATCATTGATTGGCTGTTGACACGAGCAACTTGAGAGAGAAAGTTTTCTTTGTTTTTTGATGAGAGACAACATGAGATCATATTTTGACTCGGTCCTTTTAGAGGGAAATCCTTAGGTGTACAATAAATGATACATTACTTTCCCCACAACTGAAGCAACTGTTTGTTTTGGAGGGCAAAGTCCTTCCTAACCCTAACCCTAACCCTAGAAACCTTTCAATGATGATTATTGATAACCGCTATTAAAGGTAGGGTAGGTAAGTTTGAGAAACCGGCTCGAGATCGCTCGAATTTGAAAATACACAACCGGAGAAAAACTGCCACTTCCTTACAGAGCCCCTCCTCCAACACACACGAACGCGCACATGACCAATGAGGGCACGAGATAAGTTTGTGCACAGATGGAAGGCTGACAGGCTGGTAGGCCATCCAGTTATTTTAGACGGGCCGGCTCAAATGATTGGTCGTGCTTTTTACAGTACTACGGCTTCCACAGATGACATTTCTTTATGGATTTTTTGTCAAAGCATTTAATATATTCATTGCTATCGGGATGTTAAGAGCATTCCATGGAATATAACAAAAAGTGTATCTCGAGCCGGTTTCTCAAACTTACCTACGCCACCTTTAAGGACCATAACAAGGGCTGAGCAAATAAAAAGAGCAGGCCATTTCAGCAACAATCCAGTAGAATCGTGATTGACTAACACTAAATCTGCTATTTAAAAAGCACACATTGTATGCATTACCAGCTATGATAAGTGGATTTGACACCGTTCGATTCACACATGAGATATTGATGCATTTTCCTTCTACGTCTCCAGGAGAAGAAGTCCCATCTCCTCCGAGAGTCACGTCTGCTCCGTCAAAAAAGGAGCGCATCTCCTTCCGAGACAACCCAGTCGTGAAGAGCGGCGGCTGGGGAGGGGGCAAGAAGAGGGACAAATTCTACAAGTAAAACACAAACTCTTCCACAGCCACTTCACCTTTTAAGATATGTCTTTACCCAACATGTGAAGAACTCAAAGACATATCTATCTGATATTGGTTCATTTTCATCCCTAAGAATGCAGGTTCTTCAAAATATGTGCATCAAGTTCAGGAAAGTTTGGATGCAATTGTTTGCTAACAACCTGTGTTTGGTAATGACCCAATATTTGAACCAATGGATCTCACAAGACCATTTCTTCCTTCCATGACGAAAACTCTCTTTATTTTTATTAAAAAGGATATTTTCTCGCAATTTAACATTTCCCCCTGCAGCTGTTCTTTTCAAACTCAGCTGAAAACTTGAGCTCCCCGTCCCGAACAAAAATGAATTAAGAGCAATAGGACCCGGACCAGCCCAAATATCTTCGGGCACATTCGTTATGTTGACTCAGCTCAAGTTTCAGCGCCTGAACCAAACACATGGAACCAAATGGCACGCTTTATATGCAAATGATGGCAGGAAATAAGAACCAGGAACTTTTTATACCCGTGAATTCATGTTTCCTTGGATGCTGAGCAGTTGTTTCTATGCTGATTTACTGTCTTGACAACAAACAAAGTAACTATAGTTTGCAGCCGTGGGAAGAGACTTGCCTTTTACACGTATTCTGCTCTTTTAAGACTAAAATGTAACCCTTAAATAGTTTCTGTATCCTGGAGGACACATTGCCCCGATAAGGTTATAATAAAACAGAGATAATCACTCACAGATAGACTTATGTTTTGAAGCCTATACTCGTGTAAATAGGTGTAAATACAGTGAATTATGGGTCTAATAACAGCAATATGGGTGTAAGATAGGTGTAATAAATGGGTGTAACATGTGTAACACAGGTGGAACCTAGATGTACTATGGGTGTGAAGTTGGGGCAATGTTGGTGTAACATGGGTGTGATATGGATGTACAGTAACATGGGTGTGATATGGGGGTGAAATGGTTGTATTGGGTGTGATATGTGTATATTATAGGTGTAACCTGGGTGTAATGTTGGTGTCATATGGGTGTTATATGCATGTAACATGGGTGTAACATGGGTGTCATATAGGTTCAATAAAAAAATGTATACCCTAAATGGGCAATACATTTTAGAAAAAAAAGTCACATTTTGCAAAAAGTCATGAAATTGTAATTGTAGCCCAGATATTAGAAAACAGTCATTCTTTAATTTCCCCAAAATATCGCCATTTTAAGGGTTAAGTGACATTTTAGAGGCTACATTTAGTTCCTGCTCGCCAACAGTGAGCTTGAAATGACTGCTTTTAAGCGCCGGGCACAAACATTGGTGTTGGAATTAGAACAACGTTTTCTTTATTTCCAGTCGTGGATTATAATGGCCTTGTCTCTGGTGTATTTGAGTTTGGAGAGCTACAAGGCGTCCGTCCGCAAACACTGCCCCCCCGAAGGCGGTGGACCTCGAGGCTCGGAGGTTCCTCGCCGCCTGGAAATGATAACTTAATGAATGTCAAAACAAATAGTCGGAGCTGCAGAGTGGCTCCCTGGCAGGAAATGCATGTCTGTGTATTTATCTTCTCCTATCTCTCGCTCTGCACATGTCTGCAGGCTGTGTTTTGACTGTACTGCAGGGATTTCAGTCTTCAGAGTGGCGTATGCCAGAGATGTGGTGGTCCAGCCCACTTGGGGGATGTTGTGAAACCCAAGAGCAGTGTTCTCCTTCAGGGGGGACATCATCTGTCATCAATCAGTCAATACACAACTCTGATAAAGCCAACTTCAGATATTTATTGCATACATCATGCAGAGACAGGTGAAATAAGTGTGCAGTTATATATTGTCACTTTCTTTGACATGTGTTCAGGTTTTCCCAGGCTTTCCTCCCCAACTACCGCTGCTGAAACGATATTGTTAAACCAGCGTCCACCAGTCTTCATTACTTCTGTTTACTTTTGGGTTATGGCTAAATTATATGTAACTTAAGACATCCAAAATCCATTGCGTGGTGAAATGAGTGCTCCACCGCACATTTAGATAAGATGAGGAATGTCCCTCTCAGCCTGCCTGACCTCAAGTCAGCACAAGTTGTCAGATGGAGTCTGCCAGAGAGACCTTTGCTATCCAAATCCCTCTGAGTGCTGTCTTCAAGTGCATTAGACTAGAGGACCGTAACTGAGTCTGCTTCCAAGTTTTAGCTACAGTTTCGCACAGTGTACATTTGGCTGAGTATTTTTGAAAGCCTGCTGTACTGCTTTAGATTTTTTGACATTTTTTGTCAGGCGTTCAAGGTAAATTTGACTGAAGACAGTTTTAGGAAGATTCAAGAGAGATTGATTTGTATATAATTGAAATTCCCCCAAATGTGCACTCCTGTTACATCCTTAATACACATACAGTATAGTACAGCCATATTACACCAATATTACAGGTTAAACCATCTTACATCCACATTTCACTGTTATTACTGAGTATAGGCTTCTCAACACAAGTATATATGTGGAGATTATCCCTGTTTTATAACCTTATCTGGGCAATGTGTCCTCAAGGTTACAGAAACCACTTTAGGGTTGAACCACAGTTGTAGTTATATCATTTTTCAGAGATACGGCTTTACTAAGCAATTAAATGTAAAATAACCATAACTCAAATTCCCTCAATCACTCACCGATAAAGAAAAGATGACATAACAAGATATCTCTTTCTATTTATATCGACCTTACACAATTAGCCATCTCTTTTAGCCAAAGTAAAGAAATAGGAAATGGATATAAACTCTGAGGAATGTGCAAGCTCTCTTGAAAATGTGAAACCGACTTATAAAGACATCGTGAATAAACTCATACGGGCAGAAACGTGTCTGCGCTGCTCTCTGGTAAAAGTCAGAGCTCATTTATTCCCCCAACGACAACTGGTGGTTTAAAAACATCCCAGAGATGAAAACAGGTCTGAGGCGTTCCTCTAAATTGAGGGCAGGAGTGCTGTCACATGATGCCTGAGAGAATTACCTTTTAGAGGTTTGTCAATTCATTAAGGCAGAACAGAGTCCCTTTGATTTGTCAGATGTTCGACTCCTTGGTATTTATATACAGAGGACATTAATGGAAGTAAGGGTACATGTTGTGCGTGCTTGTGTGTACAAACAATATGTTTACCTATGTGACATTAATTAATAAATTATAAAATATACATCATTTCAGTAATTTATCATGAAATGTATCCACACATCTTTTTCAAAATCCCCATTTTTAATGACGATCCAAACTTTAAACAACCATTTTTTTTTTTCAGTAGTAATCATTTCCTTATATTTTAATTTTGGAATAAGATTTTATACGTGGATTATATCTGTATTCTTCCTGGTTTGTCTATACTGGTGTTTAAATTATTTAATTTGTCCTGCAAGATTCAAGAAAACAATTATTTCTGTACGATTATAGGTTTTGAATGTGTGACTGCAACTCTTGATAAATGTTTATTTGACTATTTGACTAAGATTTGAAACATTAAAGGTCAAACTAAGCATTCATAAGGCTTCTATCTGTTTCCTATTTATGTTTTCATTTGACCTACATTTGTTTTGTATTGAAAAGAATCCCCAACAATAAGGAAACGCTGTTCTGTTAATGGTCATTTAAAAAGCGATAAAGTGTAAACTCACTTGGATTTTTTTCTTCCGATGAATATTAATCGTGCAAAACACTTCTTACTGTTCAAGTTGATACATTATTGTATTGTTATTCAGATCAGTCTTGTGTCACAGCATCTGGATGTGTGCTGCCGGGTTAGTTCTGGTTCCAGTCAGAGGTGACTTGTATAACATGAACCCAGATGACTCGAGTGACTGAGGGCTTTGTCAGGGCTCAGGAATGCCTGACTCCTGGAGAAAAACACAAACAAACAATATAAAAAACAAACTTTTAAAGCGTGAAATGTTCTGCAGACTCGAATGACATTCACAAACTCCACAAAATGTGTGTTTTTAGGGGGAAATAATCTGCCTGTTTTTGTCTTTCAGGGCTTGCCAAACATTTGAAGACATTTCAAAAGATTGAATAAGACCCAAGGGTGGCTTTGGGCATCATGATGTGATGTTTCTGCTGGCTTAAGTTGCACATTTTGGTCTGTGTTGAGTCGTATCAAGACTAAAATGGATGATAGCTCAGTTCAATCCAATTCTGACCGTCATGTGTGCTTGCAGCGTAGGTGCTATTAACACCATGACAGGTCCCTACCACTATTTGAAAGCATGCACCAAGATTTGCTAACTAACAAATTAGTACACTTTCAGAAAATTGTATTTGCATAATTAGAAAACAAAAAAATGCAATGTTAATCTAGACTAAAAGCATTTTTTTTTAATCAAGCGCATTTACAAGTGCTCATATATGTCTAAACAATAAATACAAGTCCAAATAAAGTTGAACTCACATAAAAAAATATCCCCCCATTACTATAAAATGATCAAAATGCATGCTAGTTTTACGTTGAAAGCAAAAGTGTGAAAAAAAGATTAAATTGTTATTTAGGACTTCCCTTCAATATTATTTTTTCACAGTAACTAAAAACATCTAATCAAACCTTGAAATGTATATGCTTTCTTAAACAGATTTATGAATGTTAAATCCTTTAGACTTATAGTAGCTTTTTCAATATGGTATGGCTTTAAGAGAAAGGCTTAACCATGCATGCACTGACCAGTAACCTCAGAAAATGTCTCTACCTTTTTTCTTGTTTTTCCCCAATTTTGGTGGTTAGACGTCAAACGGAAAACCCTATTACATTGCCCAGAAGTGTAGATGTTGAAGACTACTTAAATATCTTCTGCCCCCCCCCCCCCCCATGCCCCCAACACTTTTCAACACAAAGTGACACCATTAGTTTGCAGTATGTGTTTTGTATTCAAAGTGGGTGAAGATGTGTCCAGGTGGCTCACATGCAGCACTTCATGAATTAGACTGAGCCACCAAACCTCAGTGAACTTTTCACATTTTCTCCTCAGCGTGAGCCACTGAGCGAGGTCATCTTAGAAGCCCAATAAGACACCCCCCTGCTACTTATTTATTTTTATTTGTTCTCCTGTGGCACCGAGAAGCTCCAGGTAACTGCCACTGACCCCAGAGCGAACCAAAGCTACGCCTGGTGTGCATTGCAGGTGGTGGAGATGTGGAGGAGGCAGATGGGCTCTGCTTGGTGGAAACATAAATCCTGCAGTAAGAAGAACTCTCTTCCTCTCTGCATAACACTCCCTGGTGAGTCCTGTGTCTGCTGCAGTCAATGAAGCTTCACTCTCCTGCAGCAGGAGGCTGTTTGCTCTTTAAATCAAGAAAGAGAGGTCAATATTTAATTTATAGGGCCTTTGAATGACAACTTCATTTCTAATTTGATGTTATTAATAGCCTACTAAATTGTCAAATTAAATAAAAATACACTGTTGCTGCTCACAGAGAAAATGAAATGTGTTTCTCTTTTTTTTAAGCTGGCATTTATGCTTTTGCCGCAATTGAAAACAACCTATCATCCGCTGTTAATATGACAATTCATTCATATTGCAAATACGTGTAGCAAAGGACTGCGTGATGTTCCCGTGTAATACTCACTTACTGCACGTGGACACATGCGCTAAATTATCCAACATCGTTGACATTTCATGGTAAAAAAAATAAATATTTTTAAAAACGTTTTTTGGTGCATGTGGTAATTTAATTGATATCTAAACAAGTATGGACATGATCGAAAACTAGATCTCAGTTTAAAGCTAAGAAACGTGAGTAAATCATCTTCTGTCCCAAATGTCAGGTGTAGAAATAATCCTTAATTCATGTAATCCATGAAATGTGTGTCTAAAAAACTCGTGAACGCATTAATAACGAAATAATTGAGGACTTCCATGTATTTCTTTATGTGCGCAAAACGTGCGTAATATGTTAACTGCATTTGCTTTATTAACTAAAAAAAACAAAACACAATCACGTACATTAACTTTAAAATGAATTAGCTTTTTCTATACAGATGTATATATATTAAATAAGTGTCATAACGCTTTTTATAGACTTGAATTGGAAGCGTTATCAGTTGTGGTAAGGCCTACAAAAAATATGGCTACAAATCAGTTTGCCAAACACGGAAGTCTTAAAGCTAAAAGTTTAAAAGATAATAATTTAGAAAATATATGCTTCTTCCCCATAATGCATCTTTAAAGTGAATTTAACAACACTCTTCGGTGAACTTTATTCCGGTACCAAACATGTCAAACTGCTCCAAAAACGAAACGAATGAGCAGCAGAGATCAGCGAGCTTTAAGGATCCACAGAATCCGGTTAAATCCCATTCTGAGTCCCAACGAGCAGCTGCGAATTACTGCCTCGTTGTGGATGTCCAAACATGTTGTACATTAGAGTTCTGGTTCTGCTCTCAGACTGTGTGGTTGGGTCCGGGCTGGGGGAGGAGTTGGTTCACATTCACAGAGGAGGGCAGCTCTTAAGCCTCTCACTCTCTTCGGGGCTATAAAGACGTCGTGCCTTCAAGACAGAGCAAATTAACTCCGAATTATTGCATTACAAGGCATCGCTGCGACCATCCGAGCAGAACAGCGATTAGTTCTTTTTTTTTTAATGCTGACTTCTGATTAAAGCGGATTTGGGTTAAGATGATGGAGTACATGGAGGATAAATTCGCGTTGAAAAACCAAACGATGAAGGCCAGCGATTACTACATGGACCAAGTCATGGAGAGCCTGGACAGCGCGCAGTACTTCACCAAGTCCTCCCCGAAATGCGTGCAGGCCTTCGGGCTGCAGAGCGGGGAGCACCGCGCCTCGCCGTGCGGAGACCAGAACGGTGCGTACAAACTTTCACTTTTCCTGCACAACTCTGCAGCTTTACAGGAGTGTGTCTGCATGTGTGCTGAGAGTTAAAGAGAAACTAAACTGATGGAAATAGAACATATTAGTATGTATTTATTTGTTGTATTTATTATTTATTTATTGGCATAAAAAAATGTGTTTCTTTTGTAATTATGTTTTCGCTGTTTTTCTTCTTTTTTTACTTTTTACTTTTCCCCCGAGTATTTTATTATATTATTATAAATTAAGTTCACTTATAGCTCAACTAATTGTATATATTAAATAATTCCCATTGTTTTAAAAATACTAAAGTTAATTTAAAAATTAAAAGGTTAAAATTAAAAAGTTATTTCAAGTGATCATATATATAATCACGCTTTAATTTGCACTATAATGGCATTAAATTAATAAATATTAAGGGCTATTTTATTGTCTTGATCTCTTTATTTATTTATTTTTAAATGTATTAATGTGTATATTTTATTCCAGGAAGCTACGGTGTGCCAAAACCAGACGAGGACCCTTTGCACACGGACCTCGGCCGGTCTATGGATAACTGCTGCACTCTGCGCGCCTCTCCGGTGAGCACCGGGCAGGACAAACCGGATTTGGACGACATGGGAGACAAATGCGACAGCAACGTGTCCAGCAGCAAGAAGCGGAGACACCGCACCACCTTCACCAGCGCGCAGCTGGACGAGCTGGAGAAGGTCTTCCAGAAAACACACTATCCAGATGTGTATGTGAGGGAACAGCTGGCCATGAGGACGGAGCTAACAGAGGCCAGAGTGCAGGTACGGTTTATCAGCAGGCTCCTGGCTTATTGTGGTAACTTTCACTTATGGAGAAAAGAAACCATTAAAGAAATAAAGAAGGGATTTAAGACGATGGATGTGGAGCGATGCTGCAATGCGTAAAGTAACATCACTATTTAAATAGCATACTTCACACAATGAGTAATGAAAATAAAACGATATAAAATGCATTTGTTGAACTTGCTTTTTTAAATGCAATACTTAATTTTGATTTCTGGCTTTTTCATTTTCAGCTCTTTAAATGTTTTTTTTCGTATTATTTTGCATGACATTTATTATTTTTTAGGAAAATTCTACTTGTTATTTTGTCTTAAACTTGCATTTATTCAATCTCATTTTTTCTTATTTCCTTGTGTTTTTGTGTCAGGTGTGGTTTCAGAACAGAAGAGCCAAATGGAGGAAGAGAGAGCGCTACGGGCAGATCCAACAGGCCAAAACTCACTTCGCAGCCACCTACGACCTGTCAGTGTTACCGAGGACCGACAGCTACACACAGGCGAGTTTTAGTTACGATGTAGAAGAAACCTGTGATTATCCGTTTTTCATAACCATACTTTAATACAGGACACTGGCAAATGAAGTGGAAGAAGTACTCCTGTAAAATAACACAGTTTTAAAAACCTAATTTACAAGTAAAAGTACAAATAGGACTCAAGTAAAAGTAACAATCCTAGCATCAAAATGTACACCAAAAAGTACACATTATGCAACATTTCAGAATCATATATATTGTTTATTGTAATATAAATTAACTTCTTGCCTTCAAATTGCACTATAGGGATTTAACTTACTTTAAATACCAATTGGTAGCTTAAATAAACGTTATACTTTATTTGTTGTTTTATTTTTAGAATTAAGTCAGAAAGTAGTCACCTAAGCTGTCAGATAAATATAGTGGAATAAAAAGTACAATATTAGTTTCAGATTTGGGCGTATAATAGAAAAACTCAGGAAAAGTACCTACAATTGTACTTAACGCAGAATTGAAGTAAATGTTCTTAGTCATTTTTCCATCAATGGTCACTGGTGCACAATGCTCACATCATAATCTTCTTTCCTAAAATACTCTCCACACTCCACGACTAATGAAGGCTCCTCTCTGCATAAATCACTGCTGCTCCATTCATCACTTGTTATGAACCCATCTTCAGATAAGAGACTCTGATTAGAGCTGCGAGGTGTCCGCCTGAATGAATGGCCTTATATCAGATTTCATGTTCGCTGCTCGTTCATCTTGCAGCTCGGACAAAGGTCAGGTACGAGATGAGGTGAGAGAGACGACGCTGTCAGTCTGTCCGTGTGGGAAGGGCCTGTCGATCACAGACTGAGACCGAGGGTTTGGTTTTTAAAATATGGGAATATGCAGGAAGGAGCTCCATTTGAATCCTGCCGGAAGAAACCCATGTGTTGAAATAAAAAATGAACAGGGTTTCCATGACTCTGGATAATGTGTAGTTTGTACGAGAGCGTGTGGATTGCTCAGATATTAGACTAGATTAAATTAGATATACTGAATTGATAAGTAATGTGCTTTTTTTTGGTACAGCATCATGCAGGAAGATATTACTTATGAATGCAATGGAATATTTTTTACATTTCCAGTTTTAGTTTTACTGAAAGTGTTGAGTTTGCTCAAAGAGATTACATTAGATATTCGTTTTTTAACCGAAATTGGGATTCTTTTTGTTACAGCAGCATGTGAAAAGACGTTGACCATGAGTAAAATATTCTGGATAATGAACTGAAAATATATTTTGAAAGTTCTAGCTTGTACTGAGAGAGTAGGGATTCTCAAAAAAATAAGATTACATTCTTTTTTTACCCGAAATTGGGATTTTTGTTGTTACAGCAGCATGTGAAAAGACATTGCACATTAATACAAAAATAAATAATAAAATAGATGGAAATATTCTGGATAATGTGTTGAAACTATTTTTTTGATTTCCAGTTTGTACTAAGAGTGAGTGGATTGCTCAGAGAGAGATCAGATTAAATCAGATTTACGTTATTGATCCCACATTGAGAAATGTGTCCGTTAGAGCAGCAAATCTGGATAACATTTAACAATACTTTTTACATTTCCATTGTGTACTAAGAGTGTGTGGATCGCCCAAAGAGATTCGATTAATTAAGTTTCACTTTATTGTTTCCATACAGTATGTGGATTTTATTTTTAGTTACAGCGTCAAGTCAGAAGACATTGCACATTTTAACATTTAAAAAAAAGATCAGATTCGAGAAACTTTATTGATGCAAAATCTGGACTTTTTTGTTACAGCAACATGAATAAACACAAAATAAACAGTAACAACAGAAATACATCGATCCATAGCAGATCAACCTAAATAACCTATAAACACAGCATACATTAAAGTGTGAACAATAGAAGATTTAAATCCAATGTAATGCAATGAGGTCAATATGAACAATTGCTCTGGGTTATTTAAGGAAAGAGTAATGACAACAAGATGTTTGTTTCTCCAAATACCTTTTTGAGTAGATGATAAATCAGCTCTAGTGATATGGAAAGGTTCACCATCATATATTCAGATCTGCATCCTTAACTTTTATCTAATGTGTCAAGAAAATGGGATCTGGATTTATGTAACTGGAAAATGTGTGTCAGAGGTTGAATTGTAAAACGAAAGAGAACAGAAAAAGTCAAATCCTTTCTCCGCTCTGGCTCGAGACCAGGTCAGAAATGTGTTGGACGTCTTCTCCTCCACACGTGTTTCTGATGGATCTGCAGCTGATCCAGATTACTGTCATCGAACGCACCGTCCTGCATGTATCTGTCTCCCTGAACACATCGGACCTGGATTGTGTTCTTGTGGGTTTTTAAAGAGTTTTGATGTATTTTGGTTGAATTTGACGTGTTGGCCAGTTTTGTTGTTTTTGGGCTGAATTCTGAGGTCAGCTGATTAATGGCACATGTTGTCAGGAGGAACACGTCGGTAAAGCTGATTCTCCGGCATGTTCAGAAGACGTTTATTTAACTGTCAAAGTGGACTTTCTCTTGACCACAGCACGACTGATTTGTGGTATTTGTTTAAAAAAGTCTGTAAATATATATTTTGGCATAAGGAAATGTCCTTATGTTGAGCGAAAGCTGGTTAGTTCAGTTTATAGTTTTGTGTTTTTATGAATTTTCTCAAATGCTGAAGGTATTTGTTTATTGGTGTAACATGTATGGAACTATTTTGGTGCATTTGTACATGAAATTCATTTTTTGGGGCAGAAATCGAAGGGATAGCCCAGGGGTGGGTGTCAAACTCAAATACACAGTGGGCCAACATTAAAAAATGGGTACTAGTCGAGGGCCGGACTGGTTCAATGTTTATTGCAAAACGTATTGAAATGAACTTATTGCACATATTAAACCTGGAACTAACAAAGCTTAAATTATTGCCTATAAAAACAACATTAAACATTAAATAATCAGTTGCATTCATTTCTTATGGCTCTATCTGCAGCTTTTCCAGAGTCATTTCTTATGATTACATTTCTCCACAGGCCAACAACAGCTTCAAAAAAACAATTCCCCTCAAAGAACAAACCAAACATGCCCTGTTGTCTCAAGAAAGAAAGTGCAGAAGGAAACATCCATGTAAACTCAGTGTGCTGCTCTGTGATGCTAGTTCAAGCCAGATACTTGGCATCTCATCTTGGGTGCAAGTTCATCAATGTTTGGGGTCAGGCTCTGAGCTGAGGAGACCCTCAGGATTGAGTGAAGGTGTGCGTGCAATATACCGGCGGGCCAGATCTAATTGTAATTAAAAATGATCCTGCGGGCCGTAATTAAATCCACCAAGGGCCTGATGTGGCCCCCGGGCCTTGAGTTTGACACATGTGGGTTAGGGTATATGGCACATATTACTTATTGCAGCATTTCATATTTGTGCATTTCAGTGACCTAATTTTCCCCGTATACAATTAAGGAACATATTCATTTGCATGCTTTTCACATGCTACTCACTTAGACCAGCTTGTGTTCTGCATTTGATTGCAATCTTGGCAAAAGAACCAAACAAACTGCCTCTCAGTGAATTTGGTGATTTGAATGTGTTTTAGCTGTCAGCCTTTTTTTAGAGTTTTACGTAAAGACGGACATGTTGTTCTGTAGACTCAGCTCTGTCTCAGACATCATGATGGGCTGTTTACTGAGTGCTTCTGACCAGATGGAAATGATCCCTGTTCTCTCTCGCTCTTTTCCCTTGCATCATCTCATAACATACCAACAGAGGCTGCACAACACTTAATGACGCATTCAAAACTGCTCTAAAATGATCATTGGGATATGTGTCTGATATTCCAACCTGAGGTGGATGACATTTACATTTTTGGTGCTCAACCCTTTACAACCCTACATTGTGTGTGTGTGTGTGTGTGTGTGTGTGTGTGTGTGTGTGTGTGTGTGTGTGTGTGTGTGTGTGTGTGTGTGTGTGTGTGTGTGTGTGTGTGTGTGTGTGTGTGTGTGTGTGTGTGTGTGTGTGTGTGTGTGTGTGTGTGTGTGTGTGTGTGTGTGTGTGTGTGTGTGTGTGTGTGTGTGTGTGTGTGTGTGTGTGTGTGTGTGTGTGTGTGTGTGTGTGTGTCACAGATATGTCAACATTTGGTCAAATCAAACCAAAGAGAGAACAAAATATGTGTTTTGTAATAAGGGTGCTCTTTTTGGACTTTGTAAAAATGGCCTTTTTGCCTATTTGGACATTTAAATAATAATACTCTAACATCTGCATTCCTTGAGCAACTCACTATAGAACTGACTAGAACTACACCTGAGCATCAGAAGATCTGTAGTAGTTGTAATACTGTAGAGAGTTAGTTGCTAAAATTGTACGTTATATTTGTATGCAGGATGTAAACCTTCCTGCACCTACATCTGTACGACGTTACAAAATCATCTCAAACAAAAGATACACTTACTAACTTTTTCTGACCTTTCAACTCACCGTCTTCTTCAGCAAATATAGATCAAGAGTCATTATTTAGGTTGTTCATACTGTACGTATGCGTGGTAAGGTTTGATAATCTCTCCCTCTAAACACGCTTATTCAAAAAGGAAATCTATGCCTTATGGGGTTGCCAAAGTTGTACAGTATATGCAATATTATAAATCTATTTAACACGTTTTTTAAGTATGTACCCTAATGCATCCTGGTGTAATCAAAGCCATTATCCAAATAATCTAAACCAGGGGTGTCCAAACTACGGCCCGGGGGCCAAATGCGGCCCACAGACCATTTTGAATCGGCCCTCAGCTAATTCAAAAAGTATAATGTTACACGGCCCACAAATGAAACTTGTGCTTGTCTTATATTGTACTTCTTAAATATATCTGTACACATATATCACACAGTAGTATTCACGTGTTAATAAAACCACTTTTCAAATTAATTCAGTCGATTAAAATTGGAAACATTTTCTAACAAATCTTAGTTGATAAGAAAAAAGCCCAATGACTTATTTACAAGCTTGAAATACACCCTGCCTATTTCTCCTTATTATAATCAATGTGAGGCTTCTGCTTTAAGGGATGAGCTGCCAACACTCACAAGCATACTTTACCTACATTTGATTGAGTTTGCTAACTTATAACTGAACTTATGAGGCGATATACCTCTAGTGAGCGGCCCAGCCCTTCGTATATTTCTCTGTATGTGGCCCTCGGTGAAAAAAGTTTGGACACCCCTGATCTAAACCCTTTTTTCTCCCCACAGATCCCCAACAACCTGTGGCCCCCTCCTGCTCCGGGGGGCTCTGTGGTCTCGTCCTGCATGCTGCCCCGAGGCTCCCCCCCCTGCGTCTCCTCGTACTCCCACCCCCCCCGCCCGGCCCCCGGCTCCTCAGAGCACGGCTACGTCAGCTTCCCCGCCCAGCAGAACCAGTTCAGCCACGTCTCCTTAAACAACTTCTTCAGCGCCGACTCCCTCCTCACGCCGGCCCCCAACGGGCACCACGTGGCCTTCGAGACCAAACCCGAGTTCGAGAGGCGCTCGTCCAGCATCGCCGTGCTGAGGATGAAGGCTAAGGAGCACACGGCCAACATCTCGTGGGCCATGTGATCAGGACTGTCTGGATGATGTGTGGACAATATCTTTCTCAGTTAAGAGTGTGAGGATTGCCTTTACAACAAGCTGTTTGTCAATCAACACATTTCCTTTAATATAAAACTACAGACTAGATGTCACTTATTTTAGACAGCTGTGGCTCAGGTCTGTGATTCTATTCCCACCTTAATCACTGGGAAAGAAATCTAAACTGAACTGCTCTCGTTCGCTTCTATTGAAGTCCTTTTTTTGTGGGTGAAAGCATAACCAAATACAGTGCCATGTTGTGAGTGAAAATCTGCCCTAAAAAAAGGTGATAGACAATTTCATCATCATACTATCCTGCTTACATCATAACTTCAAATGTGATCATCTGAGTCGAGAAATATGGAAATGAAAATCTGTTCAAATGTGTGGGTGTATTGCAAAATCTGCAACACACTAAGTTGACGCTTGTAGCAAAGAAAAGTAAAAAGCCATAATGTCGTGTGACAGACAATCAGCTGTGTTTCTGTTTCTGAGAGATCTCGCGTGGATTAGTATTGAATTACTTCGATAATCGTGTGGTAAAAGACACTTAAGTTGGATATGGACTGGAAGCAATACATTCAGACTTTCTTTACAGGGTAATGTACAGAGCATTGTTTACAGCCCACAGTCACACATTGCAAATGAACCCTCACGATGTGTGGAGCTGTGATGTGAATATTTGTCGTTGTTCTTTTCAATGAGGGTTAGTGTGTCCTCTTCACTGAGACAGAAGCAGTGTGAGAGGTGAACCAGGAGAATGTCCAGTTTGATCTGATCCCAGTGAGGGTGAATGGATCCAGAACCACTACAGTACTCTGAGCACTGGGTATAAGCTTTCTGCAGCTTCCTCTTCATCTTCATCTTCCTCCCTCCAGCTCAGGACTGACGATGAGCAGCATAGAGACAAACTAACAGACGTGTGTGTGTGTGTGTGTGTGTGTGTGTGTGTGTGTGTGTGTGTGTGTGTGTGTGTGTGTGTGTGTGTGTGTGTGTGTGTGTGTGTGTGTGTGTGTGTGTGTGTGTGTGTGTGTGTGTGTGTGTGTGTGTGTGTGTGTGTGTGTGTGTGTAGTGTGTGTGTGTGTGTGTTGTGTGTGTGTGTGGTGTGTGTGTGTGTGTGTGTGTGTGTGTGTGTGTGTGTGTGTGTGTGTGTGTGTGTGTGTGTGTGTGTGTGTGTGCTTTTTAACCTTTGTTGTCTCTGCTGTCACCACGCAGGCAGAGGAGACAGGTTTTAATATTGTTGTTTTGTTTTAAAATGTAAATGTTGGATTTATAATAAATGAATTTCACTTGATTCTCGCATGGTTCTTTTTTTCAAAGAAGTCATTACAGTGTATAGGTCTGGTCAAATTCAATATTGAGACAAAAAACATTGATTGGTTCACAAACATAGTGTGTGTGTATCTGAAGCCGGATGTATCTGATATAAAAGCATAGAAGAACACCTCCTTTAAGCCTAAAGACTGTTCAAATAAACTTTTAAGAGTTTATTGAAGTTATACAAACATACTTAACCAAAAACACTAGTGCCGAGAAATATACAGATTTTGTGGCACGTTTTTTGTTATGGTAAATTAAATGAATGATTATTCTTATTTTCTTTCCTTATATATTTTAATTTCCATAACCTTTAGGACAAAAAGAAAGATATCCATAACGTGTTCAAAGTTGTCTCTTTTAAATGTCTTGTCCGACCTTCAGCTCACACACGTGAATAATGAGCTAACTGATGAATCAACAAGTCATTCTGCAGTACTGCACTTTGAAGTATCAAGCTGGCATTTGATCCAATGTCAGATGTAATACCTCAAAGAAAATGAGTCAAAATATATATATATTTTTTGTTTGGTTTAGTCCTTAAACAGCTAGCCCCCTTAATGTGCTGGACTATGGTGATCTGATCTATATGAATGCACCTGCCTGATCAAGTTAGATGCCGCCTATCACAGTGCGCTGAGATTTGTTAATGATGTGTAAAGCACGTACTCATCACTGTACCCTGTATGCCAGGGCAAGTCTGCCTTCACTTACTGTTCGGAGACTCAGTCATTGGTACATGTTCATATATAAAGCCATGCTGGGTAAACTACCACCTTACATCTGCTCACTGATATCACAGAGAGTCGCAAGTAGCTATTGCCTAAGATCCCAGGATGTGTTTTTATTACATGTACCAAGTGCTAGGACTGTTTTAGGCACTAAAGCTTTTATGTGCGTTGCTCCTCTAGCTTGGAACACTCTGCAAAACATATTGGAAATGAGCGTTTTGGTTCCCCTGCATCATTTTAAAGCACAGCTGGATGAATTGATTTTTGATACTCCTGGTACCTGTCTTTGTGAGTAAGTTTGTAAATTGTACCCCTGTCATTATGTTGTATGTGTCCTTTTGTTTTCTGTTGTATTTATGTTACATGTGTAACCAATGTGCGGCAGGTCTACTTGTAAAAGAGATCGCTGATCTCAATGGGATTTTTTACCTGGATAAATAAAGGCTACAATGTTGAGCAAACATGACTCAAACAGGAAGACATAATGCTTTGACATAATGCATTTGTTTGGGACTACTTTTAGCTGTGGATTTATACACGTTTGGTGCCTGGAAGTGGTGTTTTAGGGATCGATTCAAAAGGAATAACTGTGTGTTTGCTCATGTTAATGAATGGATATGTCAGCCAATACAAAAGTGTAACATTGATGTGTTTTTAAAAGTGTTTGGCCAAGAGTGAAGCCCTATGCCACAGAAAGCAGGCTCTAGAGCACATGTGTCAAACTCAAGGCCCACGGGCCAAATCAGGCCCTTGGTGGATTTAATTACGGCCCGCAGGATAATTTCTAATTACTATTAGATCTGGCCCGCCGGTATATTGCACGCACACCTTCACTCAATCCTGAGGGTTTCCTCAGCTCAGAGCCTGACCCCAAACATTGATGAACTTGCACCCAAGATGAGATGCCAAGTATCTGGCTTGAACTATGGGGGCGTGTGGCGTAGTGGGTTGTGCGTAGGTGTTCGGATCAGGGGAACAGGTTCAAACCCCACTGCAGTCAGCATGTCGTTGTGTCCCTGAGACACTTCACCCCAAATTGCTCCTGTGGGGATTGCCCACAGTACTGAGTATGTAAGTCGCTTTGGATAAAAGCGTCTAACAAGTGACATGTAATCTAACTAGCATCACAGAGCAGCACACTGAGTTTGCATGGATGTTTCTTCTTTCTTGCGACAACAGGACATGTTTGGTTTTTTCTTTGAGGGAAATAGTTTTTTTGAAGCTGTTGTTGGCCTGTGGAGAAATGTAATCATAAGAGTTGTTTTTATAGGCAATCATTTAAGCTTTGTTAGTTCCAGGTTGAATATGCAATAAGTTCATTTCAATACGTTTTGCAATAAACATTGAACCAGTCCGGCCCTCGACTAGTACCCATTTTAAAATGTTGGCCCACTGTGTATTTGAGTTTGACACCCCTGCTCTAGATACACACAATTCTTGTTAGTAGGATCATTTCATTACTTGACTTGGTCTTCACATTGGATTTGTTGACAACAACAAAAGAAAGGAACAATACAACAACCCTTGTCCTTTAAACGTTATCTTAAACCCCCTCTGCAGTCTGGAAACAGTCATCATTAAACTCAGTTAATCTCCTCATTCGTCAGTAGTAGCCGTTTCCATGAGGCCCTCCTCCTCAAACACACAGCACTTGTTCTTTCATCTATCACTGTCATGTAATTGGGAGCACATCTTCCTCTTCCTCCTCTCTTTCCTTACTGACGTCATCCTTTTGTTTTGCTCTGAGATCACAGTCGGCGGCGGATAGCATCTGAGGGAAACCCTTCTATAGGAACGGTGGCTTGATTCAATTACAGCTGTAACCTGTGTCAGATGCTTCTCTCTGGAAACACGGTTGTTTCCTTGGGGTACTTCCTGGTTACTGCCATTCAAAAGTACAAACCCCAGTGCGTTATCTGCACGCATCACAACACGGAGGCTTTGATCCTCAAGTGTCCATGGAAACATGGAGGATGTGTTTCCTGATGTTCAGTGAGGTGTTCCCTGCTCTTATTTACCACAGACAGATGTTCACTGCGTCTACAACACACTATCAACTGATGTTTATGTTGACTTATATCTGTTTACACTGCTCGGGATAAAAACACCTCTTGATTTCTTCATAGGAAGCTTAGTTTAGAGACTTCTTAAGAAATACCATGCATGTGAAGCACCTTTTTGAATGATCCAATTCCACTTAGAGATACGTGTCTTTAGGTTTAGTGTCCATTTCAAAGTAAACTCATTCAGAACATAAAGTTATATGTGCAAAGATGACATTGATAAACTAAGACTTTCTAATCAACAAACGTGAGAGCCAAAACGTACTCTATTTATTTCATGTGAACAGGTGAATAAATAAACCATGGTTATTGCTTGTACAACCTACGTGACATCATAACCTACGTAATAGGTGAGATAAGCAATAAACAAACGTGATACACGGCTCCTTTCACTTTAGGTATGACGACGTGTGTGTGAGGGGCCAGCTTCTATCAAACACGATTTCAACGAAAGCATCGGAAAAAATTATGGAAATGGTAAAAAAGGAATATTTGAATGGTATTACAGTTGCTTGCCATCGAAGTTATTTTTGTTTTATTTTGACAAGAGTGCTTTTTTTTGCAGCCACGAGATAAGTTTGTGCACAGATGGAAGGCTGACAGGCAGGTAGGCCATCCAGTCATTTTAGCCGGGCCGGCTCAGATGATTGGTCGTGCTTTTTACAGCGCCACGGCTTCCACAGATGAAATATTTTTATGGATTTTTTGTCAAAGCATTTAATATATTCATTGCTATCGGGATGTTAAGAGCATTCCATGGAATATAACAACAAGTGTTTCTGAAGTGAATTACCTACCCCACCTTTAAGTACAAAAGTATTACCATTATATACAGCTATCTTATCCATAACAATAACACATCCTCATTCATGGTCATTTTAATAATAAAAGAAAACATGAACCCGCAAAGTAACTCATCTTTTCAAATATACGTAATGAGTACAATATTCACCCCCAAATTGTAGTGGACTAGAAGTGTAAAGTAACATAAATTTGAAATGCTCAAAGTACCTCAAAAAGTAAAACACATGAGTAAATGTACTTAGTTTTCTTCCACCACAGCCTGTAACTGAAACTCCAATATGCTCTTTTCTATCCGTCATCTTTTTTTGCAACATCTCCACCATCATCTTCATCATCTCGCTGTGACCCTTCATCCAGAGACTGATGTGTACGTGTGTGTGTGTGTGTGGGTGTGTGTGTGTGTGTGTGTGTGTGTGTGTGTGTGTGTGTGAGAGAAAGCTCCCACAGACCAGATCCATCAACAGCTCCAATGGGTTTGACCCGCTCAGGTTAACCGCAGCCATTAATATAAGAGCTTCCCTCCCCTTCCTCCCTACTTCCCGCACTACCTCACGTGGGGGAGGACAGGCCTCTGTGTGTGTGTGTGTGTGTGTGTGTGTGTGTGTGTGAGACAAAGACACACACACAATTGTTGACATAAAGAAATAGTGCTAGATCAAACGCTCTGGCGGCAGGCAGCTGAAAAATGGAGTCTGCGGTCACGTATGTTCCTCAGCAGATCTGCACTTGTCTGCTCACTGTTGTTATTCTAATCACTCAACACTGATGTTCTCCTTCTTCTTCTTCTTCTTCTTCTTCTCCTTCTCCTTCTTCTTCTTCTCCTTCTGCGTCTTCTTCTCCTTCTGCTCTGGAACGGATACACCAGCTCACCGCCGGTCCATCTTCTTTTTTTCTACAAGGGCAGTTATTTCCCATAAGCCCTCTCTTTGGCGTACTGTAATATTCTGAGAGCGATTGGTGTTTTTTTCAGAGGTAATTTAACACAAGACTTTCCTGTCAGACTTCATCAGTGAGCGATGAACCCTTTTATGTATCTATACTACAAA